TTTTTGCCGCAAATCGCACAGTTTTGTCAAATATGGTCTGTTAAAGTTGCAATTTGGTGCAAAGATGCATGCTCAATCACCGGGTGAAAATGCGCCACGTTTGCCGCAATGCGCCACATTTGTCACAATGCGCCATTTCCGACCAATAAGATTAAGCGTAATGGAATGGCACGAATAGGAGCAGGGCTAGAAACTTTTTTAAGCCTGATTTTTTAAAATACTTATTGCCGGATCCAATTCTTCTGTGACCTGACATGACCCAGTGGTAGGTAGTGGTAGTGGTAGGGGTAGGGGTAGGGGTAGGGGTAGGGGTAGGGGTAGTGGTAGGAGTAGTAGTAGTAGGGGTAGGGGTAGTGGTAGGAGTAGTAGTAGGGGTAGGGGTAGTGGTAGGGGTAGTAGTAGGGGTAGTGGTAGGGGTAGAGGTAGGGGTAGGAGTATGGGTAGTAGTAGTGGTAGGGGTAGGGGTAGGGGTAGTGGTAGTGGTAGTGGTAGGGGTAGGGGTAGTGGTAGTGGTAGGGGTAGTGGTAGGGGTAGTGGTAGTGGTAGGGGTAGTGGTAGGGGTAGTGGTAGGGGTAGTGGTAGGGGTAGGGGTAGTGGTGGAGGCAAAAGCAGAACAGTGGCCCGGGCTGATCGCAGCGGACGAGAGGTGATCCCTTTGACCCGTCTTGACCCCGTATCACCCAAATTTCATCCAACAACGCCCTCAGAATAGTTCTTTTTTAAATTCTCTTCACATTTCCGTCCATATCTATGATTCTAGACGACACATCGACATGGATCAAACACCATTCGAAAGCAAATTGGCTGGTGCCGCAATTTTTCCTACCACGCAGCAAAGCAAGTGGCGCAGCCGCTTGTCTATATTACTATTTGAGGAGGGTGCGTCTGTCCGTTACCGAGGTCCCGACTTGGTGGTGCTTTGCGTGGACTACAGGCCAGACCGTTGCACCTAGCGCGCTGAAACTTGCACAACTCATAGATCAAGGATGCGCGACGTGCCTTTGAGGGGTCTCAGCTCGATCGGGTCGTTAGTGAGCGCGTGGCGCGTGCCCAAAAAGTGCAAATTTGCGTCATAGACTTTACATGTATAAATCGGCGTGCGAAATCGGGCGAAAGCAGCTAAATTTGCCCGACACGGGTCCGGTCCCGGTGCCATATCTTGGTGACCAGGGATCCGACCGGCACGGGGAAAACAGCATCGTGTAGATAATTGAATGGGCAATGGAATGGTGTGCGATACAGAGGATAGCACGCACCACGTGCACCGGGGAGGGCACTTTTGTTGAAAAATTGCGGTTTTTGGCGGATTTTGGAATTGATTTTATTTTTAGGTGACCGTTAAATGGAACGAGTTGAATCAACGCCTATTTGCAAGAGAAAGGTACCGCCTCTCATATAAAAATTGTGAAAAGCTGATTGATCCAAATCAAGGTGGTGCAAATCACAGGAGAAAATGGTGTTTGTCAATTTTTTGCCACTTTATTAATCACACGGGTTTTGCTCAATGATCTGGTACCTCTGGCAATTAAAAATGGCACCGTTGGAAAGAACATTCAATTCTGTCCAAGGTTCAGTCTTTATTTTTGCATGATGAGCAACAGTATTCTTAAAAATATAAATGTTCCAAACCATTACATTGTCATTTTAAGCGAAATTCATCGATGGCCCTCAAAAGACTTCACGCCAGTTTTCGAATCATTGTTAAGTAGAACGCATGATAATACGACACGGGCACCTCGATGCGATGTATCGTTTATGTTTTATTACAAAATGCTCGGCCGTCAAAAAAGCAATCAAACGAAATGGATACCAACCAAATCGACACAGACCAACCCAATACCCACGAGTCAAAAATAGCCCTTCTTCGCGTTGCGGAGCACGCGGGTAACCCTAGTTAAAACTAATTTCATGGCAGGCAGTTAATGCCTGGTTAATGCTCCACATCTTTCATTTTGAACAATGGGGCAGCTGAGCAAGGAGGAAAGGATTCAAGTTGCAAAATTCTACCTCCAAACCGGCTCTGTGGTGCAAACACAGCGGAAATTAAATCCCCACTTAAAAAACAAAAAAGAGCTCCTCCCACAAGTGTGCAAAAAGTGTGTGGACACCATCAGCCTCCAATGGCTACAGCAGGACGGGGCTCCTCCACACACTTCCGAGATCAACGATGGTCTGGCTCAACGAGCGCATGGGTGATCGGATCATATCCCAGCGTGCCAACGTTAGCTGGCCGCCACTCTCCCCACACCTATCGCCTCTTGACTTTTATCTGTAGGGGTTCCTCAAGAGTGTGGTATACGCAAAGAATCCTCAAGCTCTGGACCAGCTGAGGAACTCGATCCGGATATGCATCCGGAAAATCCCGCTTGAAACATGTGCCCGCGTAGCCCAAGAGTCCTAAAGACGCTCCGCCATGTGTGCCGAGCGAAAGGGAGGGCACTTCGAGCGTTAGCACGGCTGAACCTTTAACTGGGATGTGATGCGATGTGTGTTTTTGTTATGTTAGCAATGCATGAATGAAACCTAGTTTCAATATTTCTAATGATTTTTGTGTTTTGTTCTGAGTTGCTGAAAATATCGTCAAAACAATTGAAAGCTTTTTCCCAGAAACGCCCGTGGAAATAGTTGAAGAGCGAAATTGCAAGGGTTTTGCTCATCCGTTATCACTCGGCTGTCAAGTAACGTACAGTAAAATAGTTTATAGGTATGAAACAAAATGTTAAGGAATAAGCTTTCATTGGTACCAAATTTAGGATCATTGTGTGTTCAGACACTGAGATATCTTAATTTCAAATGAGGTACATTTTTTTGGGACACCCTGTACATATGCTTGGAATTACGTGGGTCGAGAGGACCGGGGCTCGATTTCCGATGCAGCCGATACCCCGGGCTGCCGTTTTAACTGCTTCACTATGGGGGTTGGGGCGGGCTGCATCTGCCGTAAATCTGATTAACTGTCAAAAAATGTGATTGTTGCTATGATTCTGTTCGTTTATTGCTGAAAACTGCCCAGCCTTACAGAATAATAACTTATAGGTGCTCGCAATGTTTCTCCAAATGTTTAGCCCGGTCTCACACATAACGGGATTTAAACACCGTTTTTTTTACGGACGAAAGGGTTTTTGCATTGGGCGGTGTGTACTGCAGACAGGATAAACATGAGGATGAGAAGGTGGGCAGGATGCAGGAACGATTTGTGTACGTACGAGCGCGAAGCGCGAGTTTCCAATATAACGGTACAATATCAGTATGGCGGCCCGACCCGGCCCGGCTTGTACGCTTTTGAGAGGCTTATATCTCAGCAGCCGCTGGACCGATTGGCCTGCGGTCTTTTTGTTGTGTAGCCCCATCCCTTCTACTCCGTAATTGGCTACTCTTGGTGCATCTGATGCACCGTCGTGGCATGTGCCACGTGAAAGTCAAGGGTGTTCAAGTTGTTCTTTCTGCTGGAGTAGCGCCTTTGAGAGGCCTATATCTCAGCAACCGCTGGGCGATTGACATACGGTTATTTGTGTAGGGTAGTTACATTTACATCCCTTCTAAAAAGCATAATTTGGGATATTCTCGACCATGTGGGTGACCCCCACTTCGCGTGCCATGTGCTAAATGAAAAAATTGTCAGCTTCGTTTCCATTATAAAAATCTGCAATTATTGGCTCGAATGCGCTGAAACGTGGTCTTATATTTGTATTGCTGGCCTGCTGCTATCAGCAATATCAGCCGAACTGTGCTTCTGGAAAGTGACAGGCGAATAGCGTGTATTATATATTTTTTAACTTTCTTTCACTGTCATTCTTCAATGGCTTTTTTCCTCAGTTTCCAGGAGAGTCGATGCTCCTCTTGCAGGAGGCGGGCCGACCAGGTCAGGGTCACTTATCTCCCTGTTGGAAACAGGTGGGGATGGGAGACTGACGCCGGCAGCCCGTCCATCGTCTGTGCCGGTGTAGTGTCCAGACAGGGCGGACGGCAGCTATTGTCACTGCAGATGTGCTGATTCCGCCGTCAGAGCCGGCTTACATACAGCACTACCGGTACCGCGACATCTTCTTGTAAACAGCCCGAATACCTACTTGGCATGTGGCTAGCAAATACATTTCCACGTGTCACGGACAAGGTTGGGGTGCTACTGCACAGTGCACATTTGCACGTGCAAGAGTCGCTTCCAGATCTCGAGAACGACTGGGCCGATTACACTCAAATTTGATAAATCGTTATAGCGACCGATGGGCAAGGTCTTGGGCCAAAGTTTGTTGGAACCCAGTTTGCACGCGCGCACGTACAGGTATCGCGGTTTTTAGCGGTAGGTTTTGCACCTAGAACATTTAGTGTACTTCAGGCTATATCTTCGTCGTCTTAAGCTTTTAACTGTTGAAGATGCGATCCACTTGTTGGTTCACAAGCCGGCCATGATCGTGTAAAATGGCTTCATCGTAGATCGATTAGCTTCTGAGATATAACCGGAAATGTATAAGTGCAAACCCTACCGCTTAATCTCGCGAGAGCCGCACAGGTGCCGCTTTTACATCTCTTGAACGGTTCGACTGATTGCGCTCACATTCGGTACACCCTTAGTGACCGGTGAGTAGGGTACCGGGAAAAAGCAAGTTTATAGGTTGCACGAACGCACTTGCAGGATGACGTTTTCACGCCTTGAGAACGGCTGGTTCGGTGGTGCTAAAATTTGGTACACTGTTGGGGACCACTAGAAGAGTGGTCTGCAGACTCCACAGGTCATTTGGAGTACCTTTTCGCACTTCCGCACCTGTAGGGCTTGCTCTCGCCCTCGCTCGATTTTTTTTTTGCGTCTTAAGGCGTCTGACTGGTTAAATGGTTGATGTGCTAAAATGTTATCATCTTTGTGTTTCCCTCCTTCTTCTGAGGTCTCTATTACCTAAGAACCAACCCTGACTAACTGCGTTTCCATTGTCATACAGCAAAACGTTTACCTTACTTTAATTGTTTCTTATTTTCCCCGATTGTGCTGTGGGTGCCTCACTCACCGATGTAGCGCAGCGGTCGGATGTCCTTGGGCTTCCTGTTGGGGTCGGTGGCCGTGCCGTTGGGCAGGTGCACGTCGATGGTGTCCTTGGCGCGGTCCTTGAACGTATCCACCGTGTCCGACACCCAGCGGAGCAGGTTCTGGGCCATCGCGGACAACTAGACGACCGGCAACTTCACAATCCGATTAGCAACTACGGCGGAAGGTCGAAACAAAACCCTGGGAAGGAGAGAGTGGAGAGACAGAGGACTGGGGCGGGTACAGGTCAGGACCCAGGACGGTAAATAATGCAGCGACTGTGTGAGACGCTGCAGTGTGCCAGCAAAAAAGGTCGGCACCGCCGGGCCCAGCAGTGCGGCCCGTTTGATGTTGCGGCCTCCCGCTGCGTAGCTCCGCCCTCTCCCCATGTGACCGGTCAGTCGACCAATCGGGAGCCGGGCAGCTGCCGCCGACCGGCGTCCGCCGCTCCGATTGGTGCCGCCGCACACCCACCCCGGCAAAATAGCGTCCAATGGCAAATCGATACGGGACGGCTTCTTGACAGTGGTCGCCGCCGCCTTGGCCGGCATATTTCTGCGCGACGCCGTCGGCACTGACTACTATCGCGACCGGCAGGCGTGGGCAGGTCGCCCCATAAACGGGTCACCGGAGCCGCTCAGCAAAATTCATGGCAAGATATGAGGCAGACCTGCACCGGCGTGGGTTAATTCGGGAACGTGTGCTCGGGGAATGAGATATTCAACAGTTCGCCAGACAATGCCGAGTTGGGCGCAGCCCCAGATTCCCTGCGAAGTAAGCTATGAACATAGATACTAGACCTATAAACATAGACATTTGCTACAGAAATAGGTCCATTATTTAACCTTTCTCCAGATGTCTAGTTACTATAAACGGTTAACAAATAAAGCGAAGGTAAATCACTTGTCTTTCACAGCTCTGCGCTGGCACAGGGTAACCGGACATAAGCATAAAGAAAATATAATTGTATGTAGGTATTGTTGGCCTCTCGTGTGACGCCTCCGCCTGTCTGTCGTTTGACGTCATCACCGACTGACGTCACGCCTATTGACGTCACTGACGACAAGAAGTAGACGAACATCGTGGAGTTACCGGCGGCCATTTTTAGCACCGTGTCCTTGGAGGAGGTCGCCATGTGTTGGATAAAGCCAGGGGTAGATGTGATTTCGGCCTGACGTATATCTATGAATAGACATAATAGAAGAAGTTTGTCAGCAGGAATGTGGAGCTTGATCGGAAAGAAATGATGCATTAGTTTTTTATCGAGTGGTGCCATTGACAGTAAGTGCCTTTCTCTTGTAGATGAATACGGAAGAACGATACAATCGAAGTGGAATGTGCTTGACTTCTATATTTGACTTAAGAGAAACGATTTAAACGCAATCAGTCGATAGAAACAATGAAATACAAAGACGTTTTCATCATCATGAGGACGTTTGAATCATCATGAGGTGCAAACGCCTATGCAATGCCCGTAGGAAATAACAGTGCACAATTCTGGCCGTCTTTGTGGTTGATGTGAATAGTTTTTGGTTTTTGATTTGAAGACTTGTCTTTAGATTTATCGCGTCCGCCCCACCTCACCTTCCAATCGTTCGGCTTTACAGTTGAGGTGTCTAGAGATGTTTCCAGCACGTTTTGTTTTGCAAGCTATGTGAAAATCAATTGTCTTTTTATATAAATCAGAGCAAATTCTCATTAGAGTTCACTGTTCTCAGCATGGATGACCCAAATTAGTCCAGTTTTAACATTTCTCATTACCACGCTTACTTTACTTCCTCTTGTTATGAACAGATATAGAGAGGTTTCATTTAACTTATCAAATTTCATTAAGCTTATTTTGCATGAGATTTAAAGCTACGTTTATGCAAATCGCTTGCATTTGCCTAAAGCACATATTCATCAAACTTGACCGGCATAGATGCATTTGGCAGACATGAGTTGGATGTGCCATCGAGCACAGAAGAAATCTTGATGCTCCTGGCCATACAGATAATGTGTTTGGTTTTAAGCCCCGCCATTGGGCTGGCACAGGCTGCAAGAGGTAAGTGAGCGATGCTAATAAGCTGCCTGATCTGATCTCTTGGTAAATCGCGCATATTTCATTTCCTTTATATAAGTGGTAGGGACGGAACTTATTCAAATATGACCTCTGCCTCTGATAGTCATAGCTATTTCGTTCCTAATGCAGTTATCGAATGAGAAGGCTCCTAAAACAGTCATCGAATGAGCTTCATCATTTCATTTCCGTCGGCCATTCAGAGAGACCAGCGTCGATGAGGGTCGGACCTCGGACGGGACATCTGTTTGACCGATGGAGCGGAGCAAAATTGGAGGATATGCAAATGACGCCATTAAACAAGTAGAGAGCGTCATCTGTCTTGTTGAACCCAGTCTGGCGTGTTATTTAGCTTGATAAAGTGGCCTGAGGCAAGGCTATGAGCTGGGAGTGTCAGCTGTTTCATTATTTAAAATCTGCATTTGAAGCACCAAACGAAATCTATGAACTGTAATTAAGCAGGGTTTAATCTTTCCTCTTTTTATTAAGCGGCATGTGTGATTAAATCGGTAGTGGCAATGCGGATTTTTTTGCGATTTTCTGCCGTATTTGCTGGCAGCTCGTAGGTTTTAGCCGTTTTCACGACGGGCTATCCGGCGAATGCACCTGATTTGACCAAATCTGCACCTAATTTCTTTTACAGCAAATATCTTCATTTTATGAATTTATTTCAGTGTTTTAATCGATGATGCTCTCTGATAATATGACAAAGCAAGCATATAAGCAATTAGTGCAACCCTAGCTGATAGCTGCTAAGAGACACACTGAACCTGATTTGACCAAATCTGCACCTAATCTGTACCAGATGTGCACCAAATGTGTACCAGATGGCCGTCGTGAAAAAGGCTATTATCAAGTTGCGTCATGTTCTGCACGGCAAACGCTTTATTTGCTAGTTTGCTACCTGCAATGTGCGTGTTTGGTGGGTCGTAGGCCGTGCCGCGTAGTTTATTTACAAACCGCTCTGCGTGGATGTTTGAAGGCAAAGCAGGGACACCAAACCGGATCGAAACGCATTGTATATAGGCATCGTGTGTAGTGGGTTACTTACGGGCTGCGAGATTCTCACAGAATAATACATGACATTGCCATTCGCAAAGAACTATGAATCGTTCGAGCTCATTCCATTCCTTGTTACCCTTTGCTCCTCAGCTGGTGTGTTTGTTTGTTTCCAGCGTCCTCAGCCACACACCACCCGGGGCCGGACCGTTTGGTGCCGAGTGGCCTGTACTACCCGCTGCTGCAGGGGGTCGGCGCCCCGTGCCACCAGCCCTCCTCCCTGAGCCCGGCCAATGTGTCCGTCTGCTGTCCGGCGGACCAGGCCAACTGGACGTGTCCGCGGCCCGAGCTGGACCCGCCCGAGCACAGCTTCTGCTGCCACGTGCGCGCCGACTGCGCCTACTGCTGTCCAGAGGCCGAGTTCTTTGGCGGCCACGACCCGGGACACTGCCAGCAGACGTGAGTCGAACACTGCCAGCAGACGTGAGTCGTAGACTGCCAGCAGACGTGAGTCATACACTGCCAGAAGACGTGAGCCTTAAAGTGCCAGCAGACGTGAGCCTCACGATCGTACATTGCCAGCAGACGTGCGTCGTACAGTCGAACATTGCCGGCAGACGGAAACAGACACTGTCACCAGACGTGAGTTGCACACTGTCACCAGACCTGAGTTTCACACTGCTAGCAGACGTGAGTCGTACACTGTCAGCAGACGTGAGTCGCACGCTAGAGGCATGTATTGTATGTACTAGCAGACGTGAGTCGCCTAGTCACTCAGTGTTGTGTGTCATAAGACGTAAGTCACATACCGGGTGGCCCAGAAAAAACGTTCCCAACTTAAAATCAATATTTCTCAGAAAGCGATAACGATACAACATTACAACTTCCAATAGTCAATGCGGCATACATTTTCAGTAAATGGTATGATTTTTATGTTATTCGGTCAATTACTTTTTAAATGGTTCGTGTTTCTAGCATGCCATGTAAAAATTACTTTTTTGCTCAGATGTTTACTAAATGTGAGTGAACGGGCCACTTCCATCTCGGCACCACGGCCTGCAGCCATGGCTGCTACTGGCAACTAGTCTCATTGATGGTTCAGGCCTCAGGGTGACACATTCCCTCTAGCTTTTTTCCTTATTCGGTCGATTTACTGTTTGATCTTCTTGAAGGGAGGGCGATCAGCAGTAACCCATGCACCGTGCCACTCCTGCTCGAAACAGGACTTGTTAAAACAAATGGCATCCATTAACACTATTTTGGCTCAGCATTTGAATATTTGGCACATAAGGGGGACAAAAATATTTATAAAATAACAACACACGTGCTGGTTTCATTCACGTGTTCTATTTTTCCATTCTTTTTTCTAACATGGTACGTCTAAGCCAATCATTACTGCCGTTCAACATCGGCAAAAAGAGCAAAAATTCAACATAAGATTGCTGGCTTGAAAATAATGTTACAGTGTTATAATTTGGCATCCTACCAATGCGCAAAGAAGTGACGCGACCTTGATGAAAATTTTGGCTCGTTATTTGCACTCGAATTTGAGATATAGGCCTCCAAAGTTCGGAACGTTTTTTTTGGGCCACCCGGTATATGTAGGAGAGAGGTGCGTCGTACACTGCCAGCAGACGTGAGTCATATGGTCACTCAGAGTCGGTAGACGAGAGTCGCACAGTCGCACACTACCGGCAGACGAGAATCGCACAATCGCACACTGCTGCAGACGTGGGCCGCTCACAGGGGGAGGTGAGAGTTGCGGGAGAGGGTTGAGTTACACGATGCATTTGCAGTCTTGAGTCACGAGAGCCTCAGTTGTGTCTTGAAATGCTTGAGTTGGAAGCTGCACGTTGGGCGCATTAGGTACAAGTTGATATAATTTTTCAACGTGACTAATTATCTTTAGAATATCATTTCAAAACTGTAAATTACATTGTAATGAATCATGTTATTTTTCTTAGGCACGTTTCAAGATGCGGTAAATTTTCTCAGATGTGTCTTTTGAGGACTGATGTGCCTGCTGATGACTGACTGGTTTACCTTCAGACCTGGGCAGCTGATCTCACTGTCGGTGTGTGTGCTGGCGTTTGCCGTCATCCTAACACTGACCTGCTGCGCCGTGACGCCGGGAGCACCGCTCTACACACAGATCTTCCCCGGTGAGAGGGGTGAGAGGGCAGCCGTGGGGCAGGGGGAGAGAGAGAGAGAGAGAGAGAGAGAGAGAGAGAGAGAGAGAGAGAGAGAGAGAGAGAGAGAGAGAGAGAGAGAGAGAGAGAGAGAGAGAGAGAGAGAGAGAGAGAGAGAGAGAGAGAGAGAGAGAGAGAGCGGGAGAGGGAGGGAGAGAGGGAGAGCGCTGAAACGAAAGAGACAGAATGAGAGGTAGGGATAGAGAAATAAGAGATGATATGTATATGAGAAGCTAAAGCGTACTATGGCGTGACTACAGGGTCTTTCATAATGAATGTTATTTTTAAAGTAGCCATAGCTCAGGTGATATACATCGCAAAGCTATTGTCAATACCCGAATGAAATAAGAAATCATGGGAAATTATGTACACATGACTCACATTTAGATACCCTTCATGGATTTTGAACTGTGTCGCCTCGCTTTCGGACACAGATTTCGGCCCGCTGACGCAAATGGGGCACCACGCGCTTCACATCCTCCGCGCACATCCTTGCAGCAAACCTCTCCACTGTGACCTGTAGCTCTTTAAGGGTCACTGGAAGGGTCTCTTCTGTGGCCAAGACGACTTCTGGGCCCAAAATCAGAAGTCCATCGGTGAGAGATCAGAGCTCCAAGCTGGCCATGGCCACTCAGTGAGACGGCTGATCACCCGTCTGTCAAAGCTGCCATCCAACCACTGGCGCCCAGCCGCCGTTGCGTCACATCAGTGCCGTCCTGCTGAAACCAGAGGCCTTGCCTTCGAACCCCGCCAGGCACATGAGGCCATAGTTCTTTCTTAAGCAGTCTCAGATGAGCTGGCCCGGTCACTGATGAGCCAGAAGCGAACCAGTGGACGAAGACCCGCCGGTCGACCACGGCAGCCCAAAACATGACCTTCCGTGCGTTTTGTTCCTTGCAGTCAACCGTGACATTTTGGAATCTGTCCACAAGCCTTGGATCATTTTAGAGCGGACACTGTGCTTCTTTTGAAAGTGTACCCAAACTTACGGTGGACAGCCGTCAGTCCCTCAGTGAGCCGCTTCCCACGACCACCCAAAACTCCTACGTGAAAAAGAGCTGACCCGTGTTGTAGGGGAGGCATTTCATGTCCGCACAGGGGGGAAGTTTGGTGAGCTGTGACGGTTTTAAATGCATCAACAGAAATTCCAAGAAATTTTCAATAATGTAAATACAAAATTTATGCTCTTACTATTTACAAACACCCTAAACTTCGCGCTTTAAAAATAACCTTCATTATGAAAGACCCTGTACCTACATATGACTGTAATAGACATAAAATGATAATGCCGAATTATAAAATATCGAAGCTATATGATGGAGAAACGTTATTGTAATCATAGTGCGTATAATAGTGCCCCAATGCCTTTTGTTGTCCTTTCAGGCTCCTGAACTTCGTGCAGGCAGCTCATTTCAATGGCGCTATCATCCAGCTATGAAAATCAGCATTGCTATTGAAGATATATTGAGGCCTGTGAAGTTTCCACCTCTGGTGCGCGTGTCATTGTTGTGAACCAGCTACAGTGGGACTCAGGCAGTGACATGGAAACGGCATCCTTTCATTTGTCTGTTTACCAAGGTATTTTTATATCATGTCTCATTTTGTTTGTCCTTTTTCTTGAATAAATTTCGTCAGATTCTATTGCCAGGATTCTATTGATAATTTTTACTGCCTATACAAGGAATATAGCTCATGTGTAGACATAGGCACGAAATAAGCCGGCCAAATTATGTATATGCGTCATACGAAGCACAGCGACCGACTTATGCTCGTCATACAAAACTAATGACCTCGTGTCAACTGTCAACCCACCTTGAAAGACGTCATTGAACACGCTGTACGGTCCTTATGTCGTGTCGCTGTAGCGCGTTCTTACTTAAAGGCCTAACACTCGCTCCACCATGCACTTTTGGGAAAGGCAGATACATATACATAAATGTCTCACTCAGAAACTTCCATGTTTTTCATTCTTTGATTGTAAAAATAACAAAACGTTACGAAAAGTAGGCATATAAGCGATTTTGTTTTGTCTTTCGAATCAGAAGTCTTTTCCCATTTTATTCACCCTTTGTAATTTCTTCATCTTTATCATTTTGGAAACAGATCAAAATTTTATTTCAGGAGCGTGAAATACACGTCCATCTGTCGGCCGTACGCACTCACGCACCCCATTTCAGACAAATTGAAAGCTTTTGGAGTGAATGACGTTTAAGTGACGTCATAACTCCATATTTGCAAAACAATGTAAATGGTGTTATCTCCCTTCGTGTGGAGGTACCGATAATCGATAAGACCGTTTTTGGCGTGTTACGAAATCTATATTTCAAAAACGATACAAATGAAACTTTCAAGAGCATGACACAATCAGACACAATGCTCACATCAAGTAATTATTTCATGTAATGGTACATCACATCACTTATTTTTAATGCCCTAATGCTTCACTCATGCATCGCTTGCAATGGTAGTTGTAATTTAATGACTAACTGCACGCAACTCCCCTAAATAAATTCGCCGTGGATGCAAAATGACACATTTTGACCATGGGACCTACATGTAAAGCAGTTTGTCTTGTGATCCTAGGATTGTACATCCCATTCCAGCTAGTTGAAACTTTTTACTTTGATCTGGGTGAAAATAACCAAGATGAACAAAACTCTCAAGAGTTCTTCGGACCATTCTTTGAGATACACGGACCTGTACCGACTGATAAAGGCAACGAACGAGAAGACGAAGCGAATAGCTCACACGAGAGTGACTTAGCCGACTTTTTCCCATCAGTTAACAAAAGTAAGATTTTCTTCTCTGTGTATGTACCTACGATTATAGTCAATGCTTAGAACTATCGGTTTAGCGAAAAGCAATGAACCTTTCCCCACTTCCAACCGTTTAGAAGAGCTACGACTTTCGCATAAGCCAATATCTTTGTTATGAGTCTACGGCGTTTAACCCAGGTGTTTCTGCGATATAATTCGACCAGTAGTACACGAATTATGAGAGCCCCACTACGTGAAGCGAGAGAGATGTTAACAGTCTGGGTCGATTACAGCAGAGACGAGCGGCCTGTCGCTACTTCAGGAGCAGGGTCTCGGCTGTGATGAGGTCCGTGAAGAAAGATTCCGCTGCTGCCGGGTGTACGACCAGGTGATCGAGGCCTGGTGGTGTCCCGAGAGGCGGCCCTTCTGCTGCCATCAGGTAATGGTTCGACGCTACTCTTTTACGATACGATACTTAGGGGATAGGCGGGAGAATTGGGACTCATTTCTAAGGCCATGTTTATTGAGATTGTCATTGTCCCAATACCAGGTATGGACAATGACAATCTCAAATTATTGTCGTGTCTATAACTAGGCAATCATTTGATACATTGGAACTTATCTTCACACTATCTGTTTCGTTAAAGGGCGGGATTGTCAAGCACGATAACAAAGTTCCCATTGAATGCACATTTTCCTTACCAGAGTAAGACTTTCTGGTCACTCTTCGCTTTGATGCATTTGTGGCTAGGGGGTGCAGCTGCAACCCCATCCAAAACATGGAAGTGCAAATACATCTTTTTGCACCTCTTTACTATTTGCACCATTTGGAACAAGTGTCCCATTATCCCACACACCGCCATATTAAGTCACGCATTTTTTGGTCATTTCTCACTTCACATAGCGTGTTCATGCAAACCAGCAATCGCATTAAGACGTGACATGTTCAAAGAAATATAAGTTGTCATTTGAAATACACAGACAACTCAGAAAAACACGAGAAAAAAAAGAGATATTTTAATGCTCAGCCCGCATAGCGCAACCGACGGCCAGAAAAAGGTTGCTAAGACTTCCCAAAGTTGCACGACACGTAAAATAAGAAGGCAAAGGCAAAAATCATGCAAGGATGCTGCCCATTTTTTTTATTTTTGCGTGCCCCTATTCTGCGTCCCAATTCTCCCGCCTCTCCCATGCATGTTGCGTAGCTTTAAGTTTATGGCGTAAATTAGCTATAACAATTAACAAGCATTTTATCATGTTAATAGCGCATATTATCAACCATGTGCCGTATTACCTTTTTTTGCCTTCCAATCATCCTAAGTCATGCTTAAGCACGGCAAAATTAAGAGCTTGCGACAAAAAGTTCGTCCACTCGCCTGCTACCCAGCATATCGCGAAAGATGTGTCTGTTTGTTTTCCCCGTTCCCCTGTCATTACACAACCGGGATTATTGGCCTGCCTGCCTGGAAAATTATTTGGAGCGGACGTTGGTCTGCTATCTCCTGAGGTTATATTTGGCTTTGCCAACAGGATATATGTTAAAGGGACTATCCCACCTTCTAAAATGTTGTTAAAACCAGTTAAATTGTGCCCGACTTTATAGATTGGATGACCAGGAACACGGTTCTGGCATTTATTTTTCATAAAACATCTTAGGCTTCCCATATTCCAAACACAAACTTTCAAATATGTGACGTCACAGCCCAAAATTACCTCCTTCCCCAGGCCACATTACTGTCATAAAGCTGATTCTTTTTACTCTGTAGGCACCACAACAAAGTTCAGACCAAGTTTTAAGCGATTTTTCAACGAACAAACCCATTTAAATCAGAATGACTAAACGAGGTGACGTCACACTAACGGTCGCTCCATGTTGAAGATAGGGCCTTGTACAAGGCCCATTTTCAAATGAAGGGAACGAATTTCTTCAACACCAAGAGGCCGCGGGGGTTGCAAACTAGATAGATAGTGGTTTCTGAACCTCGCCGCAAACTTGGCTATCTCAACTCAAACCCCATGTTAAAGGTGGGATAGTCCCTTTAAACAAACTTGCAAAGCCCGCAGGACTGGGATAGGCGTTGTGAGCTCTCAGCTTGGTCACCTCGATAAGTCTCGTAAACACTTCGCATGTTCTATGACCGGCCGTGTGGAGTCACCGTGATCCAGTGAGTCTGCTGTTTTTGCCGTTCAACTAAAAAGTGGGAGAGAGGGAGATAGAGAAGGTTTGGAAATGGGCTGGAGTTATAAGTAAAGTAATCTTGGGTTGGAGTGTCATGCAAGTGACTGCAGGAGATATTCGAGCATGCAGGATAGGAGGGAAAGGGAAGGCAGCGAGGTGGGGTATTGTGTTTCACGCGCCATGGAGTCGACCGAACATCGCGTTGGAACGCATTCATGGGCGATTGTTTGGGTGGCCAGCGACCGCTTGTGCCGTGCTAATCGACGGTGACTGGCGACTGGCCGCTGACCGTCCTGTGTCGACCTCTGTGTAATACCCTGTGTCGATGGGTGGCCTCTGACTGCCCTGTGCTGTTGACCGCTGGCCGTCCTGTTCAATAGCGGTGACCTCTATCCGCCCCGCGTCACAGTCAGGGCACCTGCTGCGCCCTCTCCTGCTTTTTTTTTTTTTTGTTAGTTTAATTCGGTCTGACTAGAAGATTTCAAGGCCGGAAGAATGATAGGAATTAGGGGGAGACGTTGGTCTGGGTGGGCATCCTGGTGCTCCGCCGAGGTTGGGCCTGTCGAGAGGACAGGCCACCCAACCCCTCTAACGGTCACTGCAACCGGCCACGGGCCTGCTCCGGGGTGGAGCTCCGCGCATGGGATAAAGGTGACCGTCCAGCCCAGATCAGGGGGTTGAGGCGTGCAGGAGAATGATTTGACTATCCTGGTGATGGAAAAGACGGAATGGTGCGACTGACTAACCGTTGACCGCCCTGTGTCGATGGAAAGTGACCTCTGCTCGCCCCGTGTCACCCTCAGGGCACCTACTGCGCCGTCTGCTGCACCCCAGACGAGCTGCGCCGCTGACCGTCCTGTGTTGTTGGGTGACCTCTGCCCGCCCCGTATCCCCTCAGGGCACCTACTGCGCCGTCTGCTGCACCCCGGACGAGCTGCGCCGCTGACCTCCCTGTGTTGTTGGGTGACCTCTGCCCGCCCCGTATCCCCTCAGGGCACCTACTGCGCCGTCTGCTGCACCCCGGACGAGCTGCGCCGCACAGAGGCCGGCCCGCCGTCCGCCAGCTGTCAGGAGGGCCGGCCGAGGTCCGCCGACGACCGCCGCCAGCCGCCCCGACCCGAGATCGCGGTCGATGGCACCTGGTGAGAGCCGAGCGACGGGCAGCGTCATCAGGCGGGAGGCGCGGTAAACTGCAGTTTACGTACCGACCGTGGGTGCCGGTGGCGGCGGTCGGGTATTGATTTCGGGCCGGCCGTCTGGAAGGATCGGTAAACGGTGAATCATAGCATCATTGCCTCATTGGCCGGCGTCGGCCTCAGAATAGCCCGTGCCGAAAACACACGGTCGAACAATGCATATGTTTGATGAGGATGAGTGGGGCCTCAGCAGAGAACGGCACGATGTAGGACCTCGAGAGGAGAGGCCGTTTCTCAATCGAAAATAATATTTGTCAGCAGTCAATATTTTTATGTTAATTATTAAGCATTTTATTTTAACCTTGCCGAATAAGATTTTTTCGGCTTCGCTGCTGTGTCAAAGCAAGGAAATATTGAGTTTTACTGTTTATCTGGGGTTATTTTTTACATTCTCCACTCTCCAGTGATTTATCTACTTTCCAGACTTTTTTAATCATGCCAGATCCAGAGAAGTGATTCAGTGCCGATGTTCTGGTTGGCTGCAGGTTCTGGAGCGGGATGAAGGCGGCGTGGCTGACCATGTTTGCCGTGCTGCTGGCCTCCCTCCTCTGCACCTGTCTGGCCTACAGGTGCATCAAATTCCTCGTCACATTCGTCAATGAAGAAGGTCAGAACAGGATAGGTATAGGTTCTCCATGTGCGATGGAAAGGCCGAAGACGGTTTAGTTGTGAAAGTAGTTATTTGCATAACGCCAAACTTAAACGTTTTGTTGGTGACACGTATGACGGCATGACACATCGTTGACCAGAGCGTGTGTCATAGACGACCCACCGGACCGGTTATCTGACCCGGCCGTGACCTGCCCGCCGGCAGACTCTGACCTGGAGGAGGAGTACCTGGCCTACCACTTTGACAGCCTGGGCCTGGTGAACGCTGAGGACCGCCAGGCGGGCCGGCCGGTGATCTCGCGGGCCCTGCTGCCGCCCAAGTACTCCGACATCAACTTCATACCGGTCCAGCCAGGTCAGTCAGAGGCGCTCCGAGAGGGCACCGGGCGCTACCGTGGGGAGGGCTGGCTGTATTTTGCACCGCCGTGTTGTCGGGTGGTCGTGGTCTTTTGTTTTTTCATCGATAGCTTCCGTTTAAACTTGTTGACCGATCGAATTAGTTTATGAAACGATTAAAAATCAAATAAATTGATCTCATATGACTGTTTTTAAACGTTTTTGCCATTTTTATTTCCAGCACTTGGTAAGAATAGTGACGTACTGAATGACGGAATGACATAAAAAAATGGACGAATCAGCCAGTTTCTGTTATCCAGAAGTTCAATTACCGACCATTCACGGCGTCCCGTCCCTGGCTCCGTTACAGACTCTGCCCCGGTGGTGGCGGCAGTGCCCGGCGAACCGCCGCCTCAGTACACCAGCGAGCCAGAGACGGAGACGGCGGCTGTGACAGAGACGGAGACAGAGACGGAGACGAGGGCGGAGACGGCGCGTCCGACCAGCGCGCCGCCGCCGGCCGGCCAGCTCTGAACGCCGGCGGCGGCAGTGACAGTCACTCTACATCTGCACAGGAAGGGGGCCGAAAACCGCTCTGAAGGCTCAGCGATGTTTCTGGATGCATTGCCTTGCAACACAGCACTACGGCGTAACTGAGTTCCGTTCCGAGCCGCCTGACCCGTAATTGCATGAACACTGAACAGCACCATTCATGGGCCGTTTCTTCACCTAACCAGCGAAAAAAAATCATTGTAAACAGTTCTGCATATCTAATGACATGGAAAAAATTGTTTTAATACTGCCTGAAAAATAAAATTAAACGCATTAGTTGTAATTAATTGAAAAGGCATATGCCGATGCACCTCGGCTGTAAAGCTCTCCACGAGATCGTCAACCATCATCGTCGGCTAACGGGATCCTCATCAAATATGTCTTTCTCTTGATACTTTGACTTGATGAGGAAAATGGCTTGCCTTGTTGGTAACTTGTAGGTATTTGTAAGTCGTGAACTTCAAATTGAGCTGACCCTAGACCTATGTCGCCGTCCACTCCTATAGGTAGGTAAACAGAAAATCGGGCGGTACTTCCTACCACAATTTATATCGCGGTATACGTTACATCTGCCTATATCTATTGGGGCGTTCCACGACAAATCGACAAATAAAAAATTAAATTTGCACCCTCATATTTTATTCTTCGTTGAAAACTGGTGTAAGGGGTTGTGATGGGCGGGGAAGCCAGCTGTGGCAAGGATTTTTTTCTTCAAACAACGGTTTCCGAGATATAGCCTCGGGCAATTCCTGGAGTTCGCGCTGCAGCCCTATGTTTGGAGGCCTATAACTCAGAGACTATTGTTTTTTTACCATAAAAACTTATATGGTTCAACTCACAATCAACCAACAAACTTTTTGGCTATCTCGAATTTTCAATTTTTGAAAATTTTGATCACGTGACCTTTTGTCCTATTTTTCTAAGAGTGACCTTGATATTTTCCCCACTGAAAGTTGCAATTTTGTCTGATGACGATTAAAGCCTTATCGATTGTCATTCATATGCGATAATAAAAAAACTGGTTATCGCCCTGCATTGACCTCAGGTCAGGTCGTTTTTATGACCTGTCCATTATTACGAGCGGGAGCGACAGCGAGATCTCGAGAATAAAGCAAGATAGCGACAAGCGGTAAACTGTAAAGGGTACACATGGATAAGGTCTATAATTTTTACTGAGGTCATTTTCAGGGCAGGTCAAAGATGACGTCACAGGAGCTAAAAGGAAGTCAAAATAGCGGCACTATACATATATATGAAGTTTTTTTTCTAATAACTTTCAAGGTATCCCAGCTAGGAACAAACTAATAGCACCATCGTGATCCTCTCGTCGATCCGCATCGAAACATATGTATGTTGACCTCGAAAGGTCGAAAGGTCAAAAGTTGACCTTAGATCACGTGACCTAAGGTCAACTTTTGACCTTTCGACCTTTCGAGGTCAACATACATATGTTTCGATGCGGATCGACGAGAGGATCACGATGGTGCTATTAGTTTGTTCCTAGCTGGGATACCTTGAAAGTTATTCGAGAAAAACTTCATATATATGTATAGTGCCGCTATTTTGGCTTCCTTTTAGCTCCTGTGACGTCATCTTTGACCTGACCTGAAAATGACCTCAGTAAAAATTATAGACCTTATCCGTGTGTATCCTTTACCGTTTACCGCTTGTCGATATCTTGCTTTATTCTCGAGATCTCGCTGTCGCTCCCGCTCGTAATAATGGACAGGTCATAAAAATGACCTGACCTGAGGTCAACGCAGGGCGAAAACCACTTTTTTTATTATCGCATATGAATGACAATTGATAAGGCTTTAATCGTCATCAGACAAAATTGTAACTTTCAGTGGGGAAAATATCAAGGTCACTCTTCGAAAAATAGGACAAAAGGTCACGTGATCAAAATTTTCAAAAATTGAAAATCCGAGATAGCCAAAATGTTTGTTGGTTGATTGTGAGTTGACCCATATAAAGTTTTTATCGTAAAAAAACAATAGTTTCTGAGTTATAGGCCGCCAAACACAGGGCTGCAGCGCAAACTCCAAGAATTGCCCGAGGCTATATCTCGGAAACCGTTGTTCGAAGAAAAAAATCCTTGCCACAGCTGGCTTCCCCGCCCATCACAACCCATTAGACCAATTTTAAGCAAAAAATAAAATATGAGGGTGCAGGGCACTTGTCGATTTGTCGTGGAACGCCCCTATTCTATCATGACAGTCACCATTATGCAAGTTTAAAAAAGAAGTCGTTCAGTCGGTTTAGCCAAGGGGACATCGGGTCAACTTCAGCTAGAGATGAGGTCACCTGACCTTGCTGAAAGACAGTGGAAATTGTTGTGTGTCGATAAGGTGCGCCACTGTCATTGAGTTATTCGCGATTTAACATCCGTAATCAAATGCGGATGTAGGGTAGGAGCCTGTAGGGGAGCCCCCCTCGGCTCGCCACCCTCCGGTCACCGACCGTTATCCTCCCGCCTCGCTCCGTCCCCCCGTTACCGTCGATAGCGGACGCACGCGGCCCCTCCGGCCTCGCTGCTCACCCTCCTCTCCCCCGCCCGGCGCCCCAGCCTCGCTCTACCCCCCCCCCCCCCCCCCCTCCCGGCTCCCGCCTCTCCCGACCGGCGCGCGCCGCAGGCTCCCCGTCCGAGAACGTCCAACATCCGGTCTGTGACCTTGAAATAGACCCAACATCGCTGAAGGATCTGGCCTCTGATTGGCTGCTGAGGGATGTTGGACCTTAGACCGACCAATCAGGTGCCTGCAATTGTGCTCTGTGTCCCACATTCTCTGCATTATCGTTCATACCCCGCCTACGGCCGCCCTGCCCACGGCCGACCCACGGCCCAAGACATTATTTCAGCCCGGTCCCTCAGTCGTCGTTCCGCCACCGAGGAGAGGGCTGGCATCGAAACAAACATCAACATAGACGACACGCCGTCGGCATTCTGTAACGACAGCGTCGGCGGCAGACATGACACTTGATACCACCTAAAGAAACTACTAGATCGATGTGATATAAATAGATAAAAACAAATACCATGTCAAGAAGAACCAAAATGATGAAAATGCAGGGTTGTTTTGAAAAAAAAACGTTTATGGTACGAAGTTTCGAGCCTGAAAACAATCGCTACTGTTCGAAAAGTATATACTAGACTAGGCGATATGGTCTGATTTTAGTATAAACTAGGCCGTTATACTAAGGATCCTTCACAAAAATGCGTTCCCGACTGAATGGTGGATTGTCACTTGAGGGGACAGGAAGCGCCAATTGTCAAAAGTTGTGGGAAATCAGCCTAATGAGCCTTGTTGACATGTCGCGTGATTGACATTCAATCCAGACATGCCATAACAAAGGCCTGTTCTGGTTTTTGGGTTGGGTTAACGAATGAAGTGTTTGAACGACCCCAAGGTTAAATGCAACGCAAATGGATCACGATGAAAGGTGAGCTGTTTAAACAAAAATAGATGTTAATTTGTTGACATTTACTAATTAAACTTGATGAGCTTCTCTCGAAGAATTATAAAGCTAGTTTTTCTTGCGATTTTGATCTTTGAACTCGATTTATTGTTTCATTTGTCATACAAAGGCTCATGAAAAGCACCAAAATCAGTGGTTGTTGTTTTTCATTGTCACTGCTTTTATTGACCTTCTTGAATGAATGCAACAAATGTCAAAATGCTTATACATTTATTGTTGTATATAGTTTTTGGTCACTGAACCATAATATATGGTTAATGGAACTGTATGTGTAAATGGCAGTGACCAGTTTGATTACAAAATTGAATGTTATTTTGACTATGACGCTAAAAAAACATCAGGTTTGAGCTAAGTCTCATAGATACTCCAATTTCTTTCAATATTATTTGTTTTTTATTGTTAATGTGTTTCTTCATCAGTATTAGTTTTGAAGTTACTTGCAGTTTGCAAACATAACGCCGCATCTATGGTGCGTAAGACTTTGAACATTTTTTAGCTGAATATCTGGCACTAACAAACACTTTTTAAGCATTTTATATAAGTATTTGATGGTCTTAATGTCACATTTTACCTGAACTGAATCAAGTTTCATTTTATATTCAATATGAGTATTTTAATCTATTTGGTTTATTTACTATTGGCTGTTTTATTAGTACCTCAAGATAGGTACCTACATAAGAACATTCATGTTGATACTTTCTACCAATAAGTCAATGCTCTGATGTGCTTTTTGGCTCCAAATGATTTGCATGAGGTGTGCTTTAGAGTTGTGTCTTACCAGTTTGTCCCTGCGTGCTTGTCATAATAGTTCCTGGTTTGTCAGTGATGAATATTTGGTATTAACCCGCGCCCTGCTGGGGGGGGGTGTTTGAACACCCCCCCTTGTGGTTTTTCGCGAATATCTCAAAAACGGCGGCGCTCCGCGCCGCCGTTTTTGGTACACCTTATCATACATCAATTCTACACATGTTGTGAAAATTTCAGACCAAGGTCATTCAAGGTCAGGTCACCAGGTCACTTGAAGTGACCTCACCTCATAAAAACTTTCAATGTCTGTCATAGCCACACCGAGTGACCGATCGCTTTGAAACTTTCAGCGATTGCTAAGAGCAATAGCATGTACAAAATGTATATCTCAGAATTTTGATATCGATGACCTAAGGTCAGGTCAATTTTGCGACCTCCCCATTATAAGTCAATGGGAGAAAATTGAAATGCGCCTCTTTTGGATGAAAGACATTATAAACACTCCCAAACACCGAATTACAAGTGGTTTAGACACACTGAACTTGAAAATGGTGTCCGTGACCCTTGTTTATGCCCTGAGGTCATCTTAGGTCACGAATGGTATCTAAGTTTTTCGCAAATAACTTTTGATAGAGGCATGCTAGAGCGATGAAAACGCCTTAGATGTGTTCAGCTCGACGATACGGATCGACTGATATGCAACATGACCCTTTCCGGTCAGGTCATGACCTTGACCTGAGGTCAAATTTTCAAGTTGACCTTTCAAGGTCAAGTTATAGTTCATTCGATGCGTCTTGACGAGAGGAACACGATGCCGGTAAAAGTAAGCTCGTACAAGGCTTGGGTCAAAAGTTATTGCAGAAAAACTGTTTTCGAAAAAATCGGCTATTTTTGCAGTTTTTGCCCCCTGCAGGCAAAACCGTTGACGTTAGGTCAAATCTGAGAGAATTACTCAGAAAGGGCGTTAATAGAGCTATCGAATGCGCTTTTCCGCGGCGCTGTAGCTCTATTGGTTCCCGAGTTATGCGTTGGCTTCTTGGAAATTTTCGACATTCGACCTGGAAATCGGCGAAATTTTGCCTTCAATTACCTCTGGTGACCTGACCTTTGACCTGACCAAAAAATTGACCGAAGTGATTTCGTCATTATTTTTGACGCTCTTTCGAACGCCGCCTTCCGCGTATCGCTACGTGGCCCAGGAGCCGAGTTACAAGGGGGGGGGGGTGTTCAAACACCCCCCCCAGCAGGGCGTGGAAATCCAGGACCCCCAGCAGGGCGCGGGTTAATGAACCAATCTCATTTTTGAAATAGTATTCAATTGCAAACAGTAATGGAAATTCATGATTGAATTTATGGAGGCTACCAGTAATCCTTATCTTCTGCCTGGTTCTTTTGTCTTATTTGCCCTATTTAAAGCCAACTTGATCACCTAGGTTTAAAACAATTTGTGTTTTGACTTTTTACGAGCGAGCGAGCGCAGCGAGCGAAGCGAAGTCTTTTCAATATAACGGAAAAATTTCAGTATGAGCGGCCCGGCCCGGCCCGGCCCGGCCCGGCCCGGCCTGTAACGCTTTTGAGAGGCTTATATCTCAGCAACCGCTGGACCGAATAGCCTGCGGTCTTTTTTGCTGGGTAGCCCCATCCCTTCTACCCCGTAATTGACTACTTTTGATACATCTCAGTGACCGCCGTGGCACGTGCCACGTGAAAAGTCAAGGGTGTTCAAGCAGTTTTGCAAAAGTAATGATTTTGAGAGGCCCATATCTCAGCAGCGGCTTGAGCGATTGTCTTGCGGTCATTTTTATAGGGTAGCTGCATCCCTTCTACCAAAGGTCGGATACTCTTCATCTATGTGAGTGACCCCCACTGCACGTGCAAAATACAACAATAAGAGGTGCCAAATTTGTTCCCATTTCAGTAACTCGGTAATTACTGGGGCGATTTCGCTGAAACTTGGCATACAGGTAGGCACCCACCAGGCAATGCATTCCCATGTGTTTCGGTTAGGGTGCTACTGCACGTGCGCACGTGCAGGGGGCGTTTCCAGATCTCGAGAACGGCTGGGCCGATTGCGCTCAAATTTGGTACACGGTTGGGGACCGGTTAGTAGGGTGCCGTGCAAAAGTCATTTTGGACCCCGTTTGCACGTGCGCACGTGCAGAATGCCGCTTCCAGATCTCAGGAACGGCTGGGCCGATTGCGTTCAAATTTGGTACACCGCTAGCGACCGGTTAGAAGGGTGCTTTGCACAAGCCCGTTGGAAGTACCCTCTCGCCCTTCTGCACGTGCAGGGCTCACTATCTCGCTCGCTCGTTCTTCGCCCAAAAGGCGTTTTACTGGTATTATCTTTTTTCTAAATGTTTCACTAACATTGTTCTGCATTTTTCAGTGATCCAAGTGAGCTGGAGAGCTTTCTCCAAAGCTGTTTGGAGAAGGTGAGCATGAATTCCCACAAAACAACTTGTAACCAGTCCAAAATGTTTTTCACATAGTTGTATAATCATTAGTTATCAGTAAGTGTGAATATGCAAATAAATAGGTAGCTCTGCTTAGGGTACTGGCTTTGATATGTTATGACTTGGTGAAGGTACACTTTAAAATGTCACTTATGTTATCTTGAAGGCCTAGACAAAGACATGGGTTGTTGTTGTGTGTTTGTTTATTTTTATCCATGCCATAACATATAAATCTTTAGCTCATTTTGTCTGTTTTTGCCTATAGCCCTCATGAGCCATGTGTAACCAACCATTTCTGTGTGTCAGGCGAGTAACCTGCTGGGCATGGATGAGCAGCTGCCCAGCAGTGGTCTGGCACCAGCACCAGCGCCCGCGCCCGCGCCGCTCACCAGCCTAGCTCCGACGCCCAGCCAGCAGCAGCCGCCGCCGCAGGTAGTGCGGGTGCCGGTGGGCCGGCCGGCCGGCGGCCACAGCGGCCCTGCGCCGGCTCCCGCCGCCGCCCGCGGCCCGCGGGTCGTGCAGAACGGCCTCCAGCACGGCCTGCTGCCCAAGTCGGCGCCGGCGCCGGCCGCGTCCAAGCCGCTGAACGGCGCGCTGGCGCCGGCCGCCCAGCTGCTGGCGCCCTCGCAGGCGGTGGCGGCCTCGCCGTTCCAGGCGGCGGTGCGGCCGCCGGCCGGCAGCCAGCCATCGCCGGTGCCGGCCGCCAGCCCGTACTCTGCGGCGCGCTCCCCCGGCCAGTCGCCGGCGCCGGCCAGCTCGTCACCGGCGCTGGCGCTGGGCACGGCTCGCGGCGCCGGCAGCATGACCACCCTGTCACAGGGCGTGGTGCCCGCCATGCCGCACGGAGTCATCCTGTCGTCGCAGTCCGGTAGCATGCAGTCCGTCGTCGGTGAGTTGAAAAGGGAGACGTGTTCAGTAGCTGTTGGTTCTTGTAAATTTGTCGTTAGTAAAATGCACGAGGTTGTAATTAATGAAGAAAAATACCTAGCGATTTGGTTCTCGATGGTTTGTTTTTCTGTTGCGCATCGGTCTGTTTTTATTAGCGTTTTTTTTTTTACACTCTACCATGTCGTGTCCGCAGGTCCGAGCCTGATTGCCGCTGGCGGCACCCTGATGCCGTCCAACGGGCTGCAGATGGTGGCCGGCGCCCAGAACGGCACCGTGATGCAGCTGGTGCCCGGCGGCGGCGTGTCGGCCGCGCCGGCCCCGCTCTCGGCCGCGCCCGTCCGCGCCGCAAAGGCCGCCAAGCAGCCGCAGCTGCTGCCCAAGACGCTGGCGCCCAGCCTGCCGCTGGCCAAGCAGACGCTGATGGCGCAGCCGCCCATGGTGCTGGCGGCGTCTGGCGGTCTGGGCGGCGGCGGCGGCGGTGCCATGGTGGTGGTGCCCGTCATGGTGCAACAGCCCGGCGGCGGACACCACATCCAGTACATCCTGCGCGAGCAGCCCAACCTGCTGTTCCCGGCCGTGTCGGCGGCGGCCGCCGGGAAGCCGGGCGGCGCGCCGGCGGCGCCGCAGCAGGCGGTGCTGCTGCCGGCCGGCGGCGGCGGCCAGACGGTGCTGCTGCAGCCGTCCCAGCAGCTGCTGCAGCCGGCCATCCGACTGCTGGCGCCGCAGATCCAGCAGGTGCAGGCGGCCGGCGGGCCGGCGCTGTTCGCTCTGGCGCCGCAGCAGCAGGCCGCTATGCTGCCGCAGCACATGATGCCGCAGCAGCTGCTGGCTCAGCCGCAGCAGCCGGAGCTGCGCGCCCAGCACCCGGCGCCGGTGTCTGCTGCGGCGGCGGCCGCGGCCCGCCGCACCCCCACCAACAAGAAGAAGCGGCGGGACGAGCCGCCGCCCGGCCAGCCGGCCAAGAAGGCCTTCGTCGACCTGGAGGACATCATGAAGAAGAGCGGCATTTTCGGCGACATGGACGACGAGCCGGGCCTGCACACGGAGCCGGCGGCGCCCGATCCGGCGCCGGCAGCGCCCGTGAAGGCGGAGCCGCCGCCGCCGGCACCGGCGCCCGCCGAGCCGCCGCTTTCCATCGTACAGCCGCTGCAGGTCGGTCCGACTGCTCACCGCCGGCCGCCACCTGACGTGGCCGGACGGTGGAGTTTTGCTCTCTCTAGATATTGGTAGCTTTCATTCCAGCATTCAGTCTCATCTGTAATAGGTGACCTGCTCTAACTCTTTTGCTCTTAAACATTTTTGTTTTTGTCTTGTCCTAGCATCTGCTTGCTTACTAAGTTTATCTTCTAGTACTAGAACCTAATCTAGTTTATTTTAGACTGTCTTTATGAATGTTTTTCGGTCGTTCATTCGTAGTTTCTGTGCACGATGCTCCCCGTTGCTGCTATCATTTTACCTGATTAGCTCTTTCGTACAATTTTCTCGTTTTGTGCTCGATTTTGGTTGATTTTGTCTGCTCTGTCTGCTGTCCGGGCTGCGCGCCTCCCTCCTCTGTCTGCCCTGTGCCTGTACGTTTGCTGCGTGTGTGTACCCAGGGCGGTGCTGGCACCAGCAGTGGTCTCGACGTGAGCGCGGCCGCCCGGCTGTCGGGCGCTCCGCTCTCGCTGCCGACTAACCTCAGTACAAACTCGGAGCCCGCTGCGCACGCGGTGTTCTCGTCCGCCGGACAGGTCAGGCCCGCTCGGCTGTAGCTCATCCATCAGCCCTCCCCCGCCCGCCCTCCTGATCGGTGGCCCCCGCCGCCGACCAGTTCACCAACCACGCTGGCAACGTGCACCCGGCCAAGTTTATGCAGTTTTCAGTGGACATTTGCATAACCTGCTGGCGTCGCGATTGTTTCATTTTTATTTTTGTCGAGTCTGATGCAATCGTCCCGGAGTTGATAGCCAATTTTATAGACCGGGATGCATTTTAAGAGACTGGAGATGGCAGTTAATGTATCATTTTATGAACCGTTCACATTCCTGAAATGGTTGGGGTAATGATGCTGTGATTTCGCGTCTATTGTATTTCAACCAGTGTCGTTTAGTGATGCTGGTTGCCCCGCACTGACTGGTGTTGACGCTGTTCTGCCTCCGGACAGGTGTTTCTGAACGGCGCGGCGTTCGTCTCCTCTGCGCATCTGACGCCGGTGACGGCCTTCTCGGCGGCCCAGCCGGTGCTCTCGTACGCGGCCGGTCCGGGACGGCCGGTGCTCTCCACGGCCGGCTCGGTGGTGCTGCCGCCGCGCGCCGCCGCGCCGCTGGTGGTCAGCACGGCGCCGGCGGCCGGCAGCGTGCTGGGCAGCCTGCTGAGCCAGCCGAGCCGTCTGGCGCGGCCTGCCGGCGCGCAGACGCTGGCCGTGGCGGCCGCCCCGCTGCCGGCTGCCGTCTCCGCCCCGTCTGCGGCCGGTCTGCAGCCCCTGTCGGCGGCCGTCGGGTTCAGCGTGCCGCAGCCGCTGGCCGCGGCGGCCGCGCAGCCGGCGCCCCGTCCGACGGCGCCCACCCCGCCGGCAGCCTCCACCGGCGGCAACGCCTCCTTCCAGAACGCCTTCCTGGAGAACCTCATCAAGAACCAGCTGTGCTCGCGCAGCAACAGCAAGAAGAAGCGGAAGGAGCAGGTGGTGCGGGTGACGGCGGCGCGCACGCCGGCCACGGTGACGGTGGCGGCGTCGGCGGCCGACTCCTCGCGGCTCAGCAGCGCCGCGGCGGCGCGGCTGGCCGACAACAGCGTGACGAGCACCACGCAGCTGGAGCCGGCGCCGGCGCCCTCTCCTCTCACGCCCACGTCTTTCACGGCGCCGCCGGCAGCCGCCGAGCCGGGCCCGGGCGCGCCGCGGCCGCTGGTGCCTTCAGCGCTGCGCGCTATCGCGCCGGCGCCGGCCGGGGCCGTGCCCGTGTCCGGCGGCGCGCTCACCGTTCCTCACGCACAGAAGGTGCAGACCATCCAGCTGTCGCCAGAGAACCAGCAGGTGAGTCCGCACTACCCAGGCGCCGTGTAGGTCAGGAGCGGCTTAGCCTTATGATAATTATTTAGTGGCTTGGTCTTGTTCATCGATTGAAGGGTGGTTGTCCGCAGCTATATGGGATAATATTTCAGAATTTTATTTGGCCGACTAGGTCGATTAATCCGTCAATCAAACCCTTGACTGGGATTGAGCCGGGGCTAGCGAGTGCTCATCTCTCAGCCAAGTTCGACCACGCCATCCAAGAAAAGTAGATTTACTGCAGGTCACGGTTCCAAGTTCGGCGTCCATCTCCCAGTTCCTGGGTGGCAACTGCACTGACCTTTACAACGGGAACTGCTGGAATCAGGAGATTGATGCATCGCGGAATGCGACCTTTGTGCAGTTTCATTTGTATTGAATATTAAATATTCTATTTCAATCAGCCTGTCGTCCGTATAGAAATTTGTTCATAAAATGCCCACGATAAAATATGTTGCTTTGGATAGGATGCGGCTGGGTGTCACTTTGATGTAAGAGGGCTTTTTAAGCTTTGACTGAGTCAGTTGCCGAAGTTGACAGTCATTTGGTGGTGGGGGGGGGGGGGGGGGGGGGGAGCGAGGGTTGACATGGAAATCGGTTAGTGTTCTGTTGAATGTAATTCGGGGACTGCCATGAAAATCGGTTAGTGTTCTATTGAATTCAAGTCAAATTTGTTTGACGTTTTTATGATATCGCGATATTTTACATATTCTGTCAGGTGACTGCTGGTCGGTTGCATGGGCGCCGATGACCCCCTGTCTGTAGTCCGGGTGCCCAAAAACCCCAATTCATCATCATCATCATTGGTTACCTGCAAGCCATGTCGGCTCGGTCAATGTTACACAATCCGCTACGATTGCCAAACCTAGCCTTGTCTAACCTCCCGTAGCCACCGTTACCCATCAGCTGACGCTCTGCGATCTCCCTCGGTCCGTGCAGGAGCTGAACCGGGTGAACCTGCGGATGCAGCTGCTGCTGCGGCACCCGGAGCGCTCGGCGCGCGACGCGGACGAACTGAAACGGCTGGAGGCGGCCCGGCAGAAAATAATCGCCACCGGACAGTCGGTCAGCCTACCGGTCAGTGTTGTGCTTCGGGCTGGTCGAAATTGACACGCGTCTCCCTGCCCGGGAGTGGGACTTTCATTGTTTTTGGTAGACGTCCCACCGCCCTTGATAGACTCCCACTAGGCTGGCCTACCCCGGGGTCGGCACTGGCCAGCTCAAGAACATATTTATAGTTGTTACAAGTGGTAAAGCGTGTCATGCTGTGCTTGTGGACACAGGTGCAAACCAGATAGATTTCCGTTAAAGATAATGCTCCGGTTCGGAGTTTTGATATGCGCGCGGAGCCTTCATTCCTTGACAGATCTGTTAAAGCTGTGTTGTGGGAGCCATATTCAATGTCAGTAATTTGTGATTCTAGCGTTTCGTTGTCGGGTTGCTTTAATGTCGCCTGTTGCTGGGTCGTTTTGTGTCATTTGAAAGCTTGATGGCCTCATTTTTTGTTCTAAATTAGTTATTGTCTCCGTCCAAGAGTCCAAGGTAGTCTCACGTTTAATTTACAGGGTAACTAGCCGTTACGATGTGTCGGGGTCCCAGTTGGTCCGTGTCGAGCCGCTGGTCGTCGGTCGGCGGCCAGCGGGGCCATTAGGACGTGTCGCCGTCCCCTATTGGCAATCGATGCGGTCGGTCCGGCCGGCCGTCTGTCGGGCTGTGGCCGGTACCTACGGCTCTGTGCGGCAGTGGAGTGCCGCTACCCCCCCCCCTTCCCGTCCCCTGCCTGACTGACTGACACGCCGCGGGCTGTGTGCCGCAGGTGCGGTGGTCGCTGCCGACCTCCACCGCCGCCCCCGCGCCCGCGCCCGCCGCAGTCACCGCCGCCGTGGTCTTCTCCACACCCTCGACGCTTTCATCGCAGCCAGCAGTACCTCAGCCGCCGCTGGTGGCGGCCAGCTCCGCCAGCCAGCAGCACCCTCAGACGCCCAGTCAGTCCCAGTCCCAGCCGCCGCCGCAGTCTCAGCGGCAGCCGTCCGGTCAGCAGCAGCAGTCGGCGCCACACCAGGAGCAGTCTCAGACGCCGCAGGCACAGTCACACTCGCAGCAGTCACATCAGTCACATCAGTCGTCCAGCGCGGCGGGGCCCTCCTCCCAGTCGGCCGCGCCGGTCCAGGAGGCGCCCGCCGTCTACCCGTCAGACGAGAGGTGGGTGATGGAGCGACAGGCGACGGACGCCTTACTGACAAACGGTATAGTTGTCCGAGTCAGTTCGTAGACAGTTACGGTGATTAGTGAATTACTCGGAGCTGATTTTGTCGGTTCTACGTGAGCCTGGTCATGAAGCTTGTGTTCCTTTGGGTCATGAGAATTTTAACAAGAGCTCTAATGGGTTCGTCTATATAAATTGTCTGTATTGCGCCTGTTTTCCCCGGTCGGCTGTCTGACGGTGCCGTTTTCCGCAGGTTCGCCGCCCAGCTGCGGTGCGACCAGCGGGCCGCGCTCTGTCCTGACACGGAGACGCCCTTCCTGAACGTGGCGGACGCCGTGAAGCGTCTCTCCAAGTACCACGTGCTGCAGGACGCGCCCGCCGAGCCCGAACAGGTGCTCATTGAGGACGAGGTGTTCCGGATGCGTGCAGAGTACATCCGCCACAAGCGGCACGTCATGAACAACAAGTACCGCCGGCTGCTGCTGAAGGAGAGCATGGTGAGTGTTACTGAGGGGGCGCTGATCTGGATGGGAGAGGGATGACTGGGAATGGGGACGGTTGGGCGGCGGTGGTTTGAGCTACGGGGCACTGTTATATGTAGACGTGGTGAGGTATCGTGTTTTGGGTGAGTCTGGATTGCGTATGTTCAGTGATTAAGTCTGTTATGTAGGTTTGTCGCGAGTCTTCTCAAACTCACGGTTTATCTAATCTTTGTCTTAACTGAGTCGGTGATCGGTGATGTCTGTCTATAACTGAGAGGTAGTCCGTCCCTTCCGCTGGCGCTGCTCTGTGTCCTTGTTTATCTATCAGTACCGGTCTTTAACGCCACCCCGTCCTTTTGCAGCTGCTGCACCCGACCTGCGAGAGCATCCAGCTGCTGCGCTACCTGAACCAGTACGACCGGGAGCAGCTGCAGCAGGACCGGCAGGCGGCCGAGGAGCAGCGCCGGCGGCACGACTCGGGCGGCCCGCAACCCGTCAAACAGGGTCAGTGGAGGGAGCGCGGTGGGGCGCAGGGACGGGAAGGAAGCGGATAGAGCTCATGGTGCATCGTTTGGTGAGGTGAAGGTGGGGGATACGTCTTAGCAGCTAACACAGGGTTGAAAAGTTTCGGGTCTTTGGGTGGCCGACTTCGGTGTCTTTAGTGGTGGTTTCTTGAGTTGAGGTTGGTGGCTGTACTCGATGGACATCGTCAGCTGGAGCACTATTGTACAGTAACTCATCTGGACGCTGTTGTAGTTGTACCCAAATGGCTGACTTTCATTACCTTGACATTCCATTTTTCTGTGTTCCAGAACACGCATCTCAGCCGGGTGCCGAGTCCAGTGCAGCGGCGGCCCCGGAGTACCCCTTCCACCCGGCCAACAGTCGGTCTGGCGCGCACGGGGAAGGCCCGGCGGCCCAGTCGGACACTCAGCCCGCCGTCAAAGTTGAGCCCAAACATGAGCCGAAGCCGGACCGGGAGCCGGCGGCGGCGGCGGCCTCAGCACCCGGTGCGGCCGGGCCGGGGCGGACAGATCTGACGGCGCCCGACGAGCGGCTGCTGCACCCGGCGGCGGCCGCCGCCGCGCAGGCCGACGCCGAGTTCGAGCGGCTGTTTGACGAGCCGCTGGTGAACGGTCACGGCGGCGCGGACGGCGACCCGGCGCCGGCGGCGCGCTCCCGAGTCGAGGATGACCTCCAGAGCGCCATCAAGAGCATCCTGAACCTGCCGCGCACCGACAGCGAGCCGGTCGACGAGCTGACGCCGCCGCTGCCGCCACCCAGCAGGTTCAACATCAACGCGTCCTTCTTCAACGCGGACGGCTCGACGGAGGACAGCGAGGCCCTGGACGAGGCGGTGCGGAGCATCCTGCTGTAGGCCAGCGCCGCCGGCCGGCCGGCGCCGCCATACGCAAGCTGTGATGGATCGTACAGTTCAAACTACTGTGTGATATTAGGGTAGTTGTTTCTGTAGGGTATGTTTTGCAGTAAATTTTGTACCCTTTTCTCTGGCATTTGCTGCGTTGCGATCTCAAAAGAGGACACCCTGTCCAACGCGGCACGAGCCGGTCTGCTCGCACGAATGTTTCTGTCGATTTCTTGCCGACACCGAGCGGCAGCGAAGCCTGAGTGCACTTTTTACGTTTTTTTTTCTGGTATTCGCTAAGTATTACCGCGGATGATCTATTCGTGTATGGGCATATTATGCCTTCTTTCATCAATCATGTCATGCATTCGTGGCAATATGGTGCCCCGTTCGTGGCTCCTTCCCATCGTCATGTATTTTTAATGGCATTAAAATAAAACATGTGGAGCGTTTAGCGAAAGCATTGTGTCGTATGTTCGATTGAAGGACTGAGGACAGGCGAAATCAACGTTTCGTTGCGTTTTTTTTTTTAAACCTTTTCAACAGATGAGGTTTTCGAGGGACGGCAGCCGTCAAATGGAATATTAATTGGGTTCACACTGCGGAGGAATCCGAAGCCACTTCATATCTCACACGTACTCTAGTCTAGCTCCCAAACTACATTCAGCGGGGTCAGCGGGACAGAACACATAGTTTGTGTGTAATAATCGTTCGAAATGTGGCAGCTTCGATCAGTACCCGTAACGACTCCAGCGGATCTGCAGCACAAAGACCTCGTGGGGTGACGTCTAGGTCGACAAATAAATTTTTGATGGATCTGTGAAATTATAGGTAACCACAAATTGATAGTATTCCAAATTAACTAGTAAAAAATCGGTCATTTAGGTACAAAATTCAAGCTTTTGTCAAAATAACTTTGGACTTCAAAATCCCGAATCGGTAAGATACTTTATTGGGATTATCAAGCAATGTAAATTTAACAATGTGCTGCCACTGAACATGCGATTACATCAGAATTTTGAAAACTTCCATGCACCGATTCATGTTATGGCAGGGTCCAAACGCCGAGGCCGATGACGGCGATCTTGATGACCTGACCAACTTCAACGCCAGACCTCCCATCGTACACGTCCTAGTGAGAGACGAGGCAAACGATGGCAGGCGCCATATGCCGAAGACAATTTTCACGGCACCGAACATGGAGCTATCCGATAACGACCCACGGCAGGTGCTGCAAAACCTCAGACGTAACATGCAGGCCGCTGCAGAGCAAAACCGGCTACGTCAGTTGCAAGTTGCTGAAGAACAGGCAAACAGGCGGACCACGATGCTCTACACAGGACTCGGCCTCTCCATCATGATAGTGGTAATGTTGTACATTCTCGACCCTTACATCATGCTACAAGATGTCCAAAACATTTTCACGTACTTTGGCGAAAATCTTCTGAGCTCAGATTCGTCGTACTTCCTGTGAAACGTTCACGTCGGCAACAGAACACAAGAACGTAACAAGAATCTTGCGGACATCCTGCAGCAAATCATCGCCGAATCATTAAACACGCGTTCGTATTTAAAATGTATTTGTTATCCCAAAGCCACATATTCTGCTCCCGGAATAAAAGCCCCTAAACGTGATGGCGGAACATTGGAATAAATAGCGTCTAGGGAAAGACTGGAAATATTAATTTGGCTCACGGTACGGGGTTCAGGAACAGTGCAAGCGTGGTCCGAACGCGTCATAAGCTCCGATCTCGACCAGTCGCTGACGCGAGCTCCGTCTATTTCCAACCAATCATAATTTGACAGCTACATGAGCGCTCCGCGGCGGCGGCGGTGGCGGCGTCCCGACGGCGCGGCGCTGGTCGGACCGGCCGGCGGCAGCGGACCGTGTCCCCACCGGCGACCCTCTGTGACACACGGCCGGTGGCAGCCCGCACCGCGCCGGGGCCGGACACACCGCGCGCGCGCCGGCGGCGGCGGCCGAAATCTCAGTCATTATCACAACCTAACACGGCCCCTGGCTCTCGCTGTTTGATGCGCGCGCGCCGGCGGACGGGCGGGCGGTCCGCGGACCCGTGCGGGCGCCGGACGGCCGTCCATCCTCCGCCGGCGGCAACACAATCCCACGCGGCAAGACTAGATGGGGTGAAGCCTATCGGGATTACAATGCGATACCGCTGTCATCGAACGGAACAACCACAAACTGGCATCAACAAAATTATTAAAAATACAATTTTTACAGCATGGCAGTACGCAATATTGGGCGGCGAACAAAGCGAGCCCCGGAGTCGACCGAGCAGCATGGTACAAAAATAAGCATTGTTCTTGATAAATTTGTTTATCGGTCATCGAGAGACGCCGAGCGTCACTGCGCGGAAGAATCACATTTCAACTCTCGAGGAGCAACGTAGGCGGTAAATAAGAGGTAGACGCGTACACCGAACAATAAGGGATAGACGAACACGAGGAGAGAGAAAGGGAGGGGCGCTCGGAGGTGGAGAGAGAGAGAGCAGACGACGGGCGGGGCGGGAGACAGAGCACTGCGGGCGGGCGGGCGGACGCGGCGGGCGGGGCGGGGCGGGCAGCAGGCGGCGGGGCCGTGGCCGAGTATTCCCGCCTCCCTGACGGGCGCGTACCGCACGGGCCGCCGGCGGCAGCGGCCCAGTTAGTACAGTGTTCGGTCACCATCTCTTCTCTCGCTCTCTCAAATCATAATACACGTCCTATCCATATGACAAATTAATAATCATCTGTATATATATCTACACAAGCACGTGAGGGTGGCGGTCTCGGCCTGGGGAGCCGTCGGCGGCGCTGGCGCCATCTACAATAAATAGTCCGCGCCGGTGGCGCCGCCTACAGGGCCGACTGGGGCCGGTGTCCGTGCAGGTGGCGCGGCGGGTACTGGGGCGGCGCGGCGCCGCTGGCCGGCCGGCCGCGCGCCACACTCAGCTGACCACTGCTGCCGCCGCCGCCGCCGGCCAGCGACGAGCCGTCGTCGCCGCTGCCGCCGCCGCCGCTGCCGTCCTCCACCTGCAGGGCCGAGAAGCCGAGCCGCAGCGACTCGTCGTCGAACTGCTCCAGGTTCAGGTGGTGGCGCTCCTGCAGGAGCCGGATCCGCTCGGCGCGCTCCTGCTGGAACTGCTGCCGCTCCTCCATCATCTGCAGGGGACGCAGGCGCGTGACCGACGGGGAACGGACCGGAGGGCGACGGGGAAACATTCCAAGACTGTCTAAACTCGACACATTAACATCATGGATGATCCATTTCAACCCTGACTAGACTGCAAGCTGATCACCTGACCCAAAGATTATCTCACGAGACCCCGCCACGTTCTCTCCCCCATGATTTGCATACCTTCTGCTCGAGCAGCTGGCGCCGGACGCTGACGCGCTCCTCCAGCTCCCGGCGTTCCTTGTTACGCTGACGCTCGGCGTTCAGCTTGTTCTTGCTCTGGTAGGCCATCAGGATCTCGAGCTCTCGGTCGAGCCGGTCCTTGAGCTGCTGCTGCTCCACCTCCTGAGACTCGTCCAGTCGGATCTGCAGGACGGGCAGGAGAAAGATGAGATAAGGAGGGTCCCACGCTCTCCTGCCTACTTTCCCCAGCATCGATACTTGAACAGAATTGAGACACATTACTCTAACTACCGTTTGTTTGCACCATCGTGAGCTCACGAAGCAGGCATCCAACACAAGCATCCGACTTAATCCAGTCAACTAGCCACAATCACCACTGGACAAAACAGTGAACACTCCCGTCTTACAGCTCACATAGCCCATCCCCAAAACAAACCACTAATATAAATCCCTCCTTTCCCTTCCACACAAACACAAATATAACCAATCACCCAACGTGACCCTCGTCCAGTCTTTACCGACTGTTTCTGGAGCATCTCGGCGATGCTGTGCTCGTACTGCTGGCCGAGCAGCGCCAGCTTGCGCTTCTGGTCCTCCTTGAGTCGCTTCAGCAGGCTCTTCTGCTCCTCCTTAGGCGTCGTCTGCTGAATCTGCTGCTTCAGCGCCTTGAACTGACGCGTCTGGATCTTGCACGTCTCGCGGTACTGCTTGCGGATCTGCACCTCCTTTTGCTGAGAAATGGAGAGGAGAGAGCGTCAGGAACTTTCTCGAATAAACACCATTCTAAGCATTACCAAGGATATGGTGCATTATCACATTTGACCGCTCCATCCAACCGCTTCTTTGCAAACTATATTCGCTTAATTGGATCAATTGGAACTCAGGTGCAGTCGGGCGATGCACACACCCCACTTGACATCCGAAAAATGATCCATCGAAAGCTGCGTCCACAACACCAACGCGTCAAACCCGCGGCCTCAACCGACTCCATCCCGACCCTTCCATCGCGCCCACTACACTAACCTTCAGACTCTTGGGCTGCTGTTTGAGCTCTAGGGCGTGCTTTTTCCGCAGCTCGCGCTGGGCGCGCCGCATGTACTCGTGCTGATTGTTCAGCTCGGTGGTGTGCATCGACTTGACGTGCTCCTCGCGCATGGCGTGCACGGCCTTCTGCTGTCGGTACTCGAGCTCCTGCGTCTGATCGTGGTGGCGCAGCAGCATGGCGTGCGCCTGCTCCAGCTGCTGCTGCCGCTTGTTCAGCTCCTGGAAACACAGAGAGTAGGGAGGATTAGACGGCGCAACGTAGAAACGTGTTAGGTGGTTGACATATTATCATTGATAACTCTGGCCAACGCCCTTGCACTCGGCATCAAAATAACAGCACGATTACGAACAACCCCCTCATTACAATCATCGTCAAGGCCCAGACGCGTATAACCTAACACTACCCTGTCCACGAAGTGTTTACAATCGTGCACCCTTCCCGCACTCGAGTATCCACCGTCACTCGTAACTCACATCTCTGAGCAGGTCCTGTTCGTGGTGGTGCTGGCCGACCAGCTTCCGGCGGCGGAACTTGCGGATCTCCAGGTCCAGGTAGTCCTTGTGGGTGCGCTTCAGACGCTGGTCCTCGGACGACTCGTGCTGCCGGATACTCTCCTTGTGGTTCCTGGAATAAGCGAGTGGGATGAGTGACCTAGTCGGTCGCAAAGGACCATGTAGTCCGAGCGCCCATAAACCCCGAAGGCGGACGGCGTCTAGCTCTAATACTGTGGACGGTTTAGTTTTTCATAAAAGCGATACACTGGACTCAAAATGAAAATTTCTACTTTAGTAATTCCATGGCAGTAATCCTACACACCGAAACCCCCAGAGACTAGATTAAGACCCCGCCCCGCCCTCACTTTCCGCTCTGTCACAACCAGGACATCCCACCACGATTACTTCCTTCAACCACTCGTCACGTCCCGCCGTCCCTGTTCCAGTTATACACCTCGCCCCTGCCCCTTCATCCGCCCCACCGCCCACACTCACTGCAGCATGGCGTCTCGCTGTTTCTTGGGCGTGCTCTCGTCGGTGCTGAGCTCCCGCTTCCAGCGCTCGATGTTCTGTTTGTTCTCCTTTTTGGCCTGTGCCAGGTAGAGTTTGTGTTCGGCCGCGTGCCGAGTGGTGATCTCCTTCTGTAGCGCCCGCTCAGCGGCGTTGTCGCCCTTCACCTGCAGCCGAACGACACAGGGAGGGTCACAAAACGATTATCGGAGTGTGTGAAGATTGGACAGCGTAAACAAAATAACCGTGAGAGAGCCTACATGTGCCGAGGGATAGTTATTATCACTAGCAAAATGTAAGCTAGTAAGGGACTAGAACCAGTCTGATCTACTTATGGCCAATCTGATCTATGCGGACTCGCACGGAAACAGATGAGGAATCCAAGGTTGTGTCTGGATGACGTCATGATACACTGGATACCCCTATTCTATCTGCAATCAGTCCTCTACATGCTTAATCTGCAGTCGGTCTCAGCACCCACCTTTTTCTCCATTTCCTGGTTGTGTTTGACCTGGAGCCGCTCCAGCTCCTTGGTGAACTGGGTGATGAGACTCTCGTACTCCTTGTCCAACACCGCCTTGTGGTTCTCCATCTCCACACGACACTTTTCCTCCAGCTGAAACACGGCGCAATATGACCGGTCAGAGCCGACGGACGTAGGACAGAGCAGCTGCAACGTTCGGCCATACCCAGCAGCTCAGAGCAGAGCTGTTGAAGGTATGATCAAAACGGCACAGTACTACTGCTCCAGGAACCAAAACAGCTGGAGGTGCCGTAAGATGGAAGCATCAGATTGCATGGACATTGTCTGCGAAAAGGCGGGAAAATACGCGCAACCACAGGCTGCCTACGTCGACCTCATGATAGAGCACACTGACCAAAGTCATAGCATGACATGGCTCTAAGCCCACAACACCGCTCCATAAAAACAAAGACAGTTAAAACTAAGCTCCCACCCCAAACCCCGCTCAGACGGCCGTACCTTGATGAGCGCGGCCTGGTGCTCGCGGCGCATGCGTTTGTAGCCGGACATTTGTTCGTGCATCTCCTCCTGCATGTGCTCCTTCTGCTGGCGCGTGATGAGCGTCGTCGTGCGGATCGTGGCGAAGTTGTTACTGTTCGCCTCCGTCTGCAGAAGAGAAGAGGAGAGAAGAGTCGCATTAATAAACATCGTGATGGGAAATATGGTAGGCTTGGCGAATGGTGACAAGCTGCTGCTAGAAACTGATCAGGAGCTGAAACAATGTAAGGCTTATGGGGTGTTTCAGAATGTCTATGTAGACCTAAATACGATAATAAGCTTGTGTTTTGATGCCATTCGAGTTTGGGTGGTAGTAACTAGAGGTGGCACTCGAGCTGAACCTACTACCGGTGACAACCTTTTTCGACGACAGATTATCCCATTCAAACAACTAGCCCAATCACTACACATTTCATGCTGGTCCGCGAAAGTCTTCTCCCTTTCCAACCACCCTTCAGCCCGGCGTCTCTGACCTTTGGTTTTCTGCCGGCGGTGAGGAAGCCCTGCGCGCCGCCCTCCCCGGGCGGTATGCTGCTGGTGGAGCTGCTCTGACTGCTGGCCGATATCGCCGCAGACTGCTCAGACGTAATGCTGTTGGACTTGCTGCCGTCGCCGAGCAGGTCGCCGTTGTCGCCCACAGAGTCCACTGTTGGGATGTAGAGGGGCGCGGATTGTCAGTAAGGAGTCCAGCTGAAGCCACTGCAATTATAGTAAGTCGTAACGGTACAGGCAGCACAGAGGCTAGTATGTCTGGAGCTCTAAACGAATTATATAAAAAAGAATAGAGAAGAGCCATAGAAGAATTAGCCCTGAAAGAACTGAGCCACGCGGAAGGAATCCGGAAGTCAATCAAAAACTGTGCAGTCCACCACAAACCTTTTCACATCAACGACTCCACCCGGACCCTGTCAACATTGAACCATCGCCCACCCTCACACCCCCATCTTCCACAACAGCCTATCAGCCTCCCCGCACACAGTCCCGACGTCCCCGACTGACCCTCGATGTCTCCGACGGTGCTCTCCGTCTCCGTCTCCACCATCAGGATCTTCTTCATCTTCTTGTAGTTGAGGTTGTCCAGTTCGCGCACGGCCGCCTTGGTGCGCGCTATCAGGTCCAGAATGATGTTCGGAGAGCGAGGCCGCACGATAAAATGGTGCTGCGGGAGGGGACAGAGATGGTGGTGTGATCAAAAGATATTAGACCGAGGCAGTCATGAGACGGTGGTATTCTGGTTCAGATTAATGGTTCCGCCAACTCATCGCACAGTGTCAGGACTCAGGTAATGGCTCGGATTCTCCATAAACCAGACAAATTTGCGAAAGATGGAGGGGGGGGGGGCAGCAAATCAGCGGTAATTACCAGCAAGCGATCTTTCTAAATATGGACTTCTATCACGCATGAGGCGGACTTCTAGCATGACGTATGAGAAGACCCTCAACAACAATATCGGCCTTCAGACATTATTTTGCAACAAAATGATGCAATAAGAGGCTACTTTAGACACTTGATAACTAGGGAGTCCCCGACCCGCCCCCGTCCCCCCGTTCCGTCCCCGGAGTTATCAGCCCGCTGCGCTCACCGAGAGTAACCGACTGGCCGTGGGTCGGTCACACGGGTCCTTCATCAGACACAGCGTCACAAAGTGGCGAAACACGTCCGACCAGCCGCGAGACGCCAGCGTCGGGCTGTCGTTCTGCGCTATGTGGTACAAGGCACTCATAGCGTTCATGTTGAAATACGGCGGCTTCCGCTCCGCTGTGGGGTGGGGGAGACGGAGCTGTCAGCGGGGAGGGGAGGGGAGTCAGACATCCCGGACATCAGTGAGGGGTTCATCCTAATATGGCAAAAGTCCTGACAAGGTACGAATAACACTGCGGCTGTCATCAGCTGATCTGATAATTGAGCTATCTACCACACCCAAAATCTGAGATATCCACCGCATTTAGCACCAAAGGCTCAATCATTCTATCTTATCCTATCATACATAAACACCGTCATCCGACCGAGATTCCGTCCGTCCGTCAGTCATCTGACTGAGGCGCCACTGCCGTGGGAGGCGGCGGAGATCTTATGTAACGGCCTCAGATGGCTCAAAAACTAATCGGCTCTCGTACTATTTACAGACGGTCCACAAGCACACGTGCGCACCAGCGCAGTGCGGGAGCCGTCGCCGCTGAATGATAACGAATAACGATACGGGCAGCAGAGCATCGCAGTGGTGGTCCTACGCATCTTGTCTGTGATATGACGCCTGCGCTACGACATGCACACGTGCCAGAAGTGTGTGACAATAGTTGGTGTACTCCTCGCGAAGCTGTACCACGAACCTCTATATAAGAAGTTACAATCAAATCCTTCCTTTTTAAACTTACTGCATTCGCCCAAATCATTACCCCAACGCATAATTACAACATCACTAACAGACTTTTCAGTCCCACTGCCACGGTCCGCCCTAGCCATCGTCACGCCGTACGGCCGTCGGCCAGAATCCGGACAAAAACGCATAAACAGCTGTCCAGGCACGCGTTCTGTCCATCCGGCGGACGGCGGACGGCGGCGACGGACGCGTCTGGCCGGCCCCGCGCCCTCGGCGGGGGAGTAGGGTGTACGGCAACTGACCGACTATTCTGTCTCCACTGTCCGTCTCCACCGACTGTCTCCAGAACAGTGTTTGTTTGAGTTGGATGGAAGACCGGGTTTTAGGGAGGAGTGTCATATTGACACACCCCGTACACACGCCCATTCACGTGTTTTGTCGAAAGTTGGAGCGTGCGCAAGTTTGATAAGACAAACTATCATGTTCGAGGACTGGCTGCTCCGACGCCGAAGTTATTGAAACTTGAAATGAAAAATATTTCTCTCGTATGCTCAGAACACGACAGCCGGGAGCAAAAAATCAAAGCCCACACAAAAGCATCGAAGCCGAAACGGAGCTACAACGAGAAGTCGACTGAAGAAATAGTTTTATCGTCCCAACATTCCGGCTATATCGACCAAGCATGAAGTCACAGCTGACAAGGAAACTATACCTGCGAGCTGTTTCTTTTAATAGAAAATCGATAGGTAATTAATCATGGTCAACACACCCAAAGCGGCTCAAACGCCGGACAAACACAACCAGAAGTCCCAAATCACCCGATAACCAGATTCAGCCGGCATTCTCAGTCACCTACCATTCCCCGGTGCCACTAAACCAGTCCCTTATCACCCACCACGCCGTCCCCTATAATTTCCTTCACTTCCATTCAGTTCACTGACCCTGAGCGCCCGTCCCACCCACACAAAACTCACCGAGTTCCAGGCAGGTGATGCCCAGTGACCAGATGTCCACTTTGCCGTCATACTGTCCCTCATCCATGGCCAGGATCACCTCCGGGCTCATCCAGTACGGCGTGCCCACAAAACTATTGGCCGGACACTTGAGACTGGCCGAGCCGAAATCAGCTGAGGGAGGGGGGGGGGGGGGCGGGTCAGTGCGGGCGGGGCGGGGCGGGGAGAGAAATACGTCACGCTGGGATAACACGGCGGCGGCTGGGCGGCTCCGCCGCCATCACCCGTGGTTAAGTGTCAAGTGAATCACTGGGGTGGAATGACGACGGTGAGGGACGGGGGAGGGGAGAATTGGAGCCAGGAGAGGGGGGAGCTGGAACACGGACCGCTCACATGCAGCCGGCCCAATTGAAGCCAGTTGTTGGGAGGTCGACTAGACTGAGCATCCCACGCTGTAGCTCGGCTCACCGGCCGCCGCTACCATCTCCACACGCGCACACACCTAACAAGGTCATATCAGCGCCAAGGGCTGGTGGTCGGCGCCGCTCTGTTGACGGACATTGCCAAATGCCACCAGTGAGCACTCGAGCTCGAGTGTGATGCATACCGGCAGATTGTATATCACCTACTTGACCCGACCTCAATCACTCACCCATATATACTCACACCTTGTCTAAGCCTGACATTCACAGCACACCAAGGTCACACAATACAAACATCCCCATCAATGAGTGTGCACCCACATTATAAACCGTGTAGCTAAATGTCACTACTTAAACGAGCTACTAGATTTAATTCCAACTGACTACTCTATCGTCCAGCCCCGACCCGCCACTATCCCCGTTTGTGGCACGTACCGAGTTTGACGTGTCCGTACTCTGTGAGCAGGATGTTTCCGGCCTTGATGTCCCGGTGGATCTTGCCCATCGAGTGGAGGTAGTCGAGCCCGTTCAGCACGTCCTCGGTGATGGCAGCGATCTCGTCCTCCTTCAGTGGCGCCTTGTGCACCTCGATGATGTCCGAGGCCGAGCCCAGACAATACTCCATCACAAACTGACGGAGGAGAAGTAGAATACAGACATGCACTTAGAGGGTACCAAGGGCAAACATTGCCGTTCATAACTTTGGCATTATAAAAAGCATACGTCAGCCTGACCTTCGCCATGAACTGAAGGCCAGCGCAATACGCATACCGTAAAACAGTAGCATCCAAGCGAACATGAGCATAAATCAGCCCGACTTCCATAAAGAAGCGGACTAACCCTGCTTATAAACTTTGATCCGCCTAATAGACCGTATGATATGATAGATCCAGTGTGGCGATGTCGGATGACATTTGACACCGGGACTGATGACCGGCATCTTCGCAATATTTTGCCCGCGACGACGTCTGCTGCCAGCCTGACGGATCCGTGCCCTCCCTCTCGAACTACTTAGTCCTCTCTGCACCCTGACGTATCGCCCCTGACATCCGGTCCACCGCTCCATCTCCGCTGGAAAGACCGAACAGCCGCTCCGCGAGCCCTACTGTCCGCGGTGGACCGTCCCCACTGCCCCGCTTCCCATAATCTAAAACAGAAGTGGTTAACCCCGTAATGCGGTCCTAATCAGGCCCACGACCGCCTGACGTCCGGGCCGCGACTGGCGTCGACAATAATTTGAAACTCGCTGTTGGCTACTGGAGCATTTCAACCAAGAAAGTATATTCCATCGTGACATGACCCCAGGACAAGAAATATCGGCTCTCACAGTTCACCACTACATAACTTTGCTGTCATATTTCCCAAATATTACATGCAATTGTCAATTATGCAATATCCATTTACGCCATCGTCTCTCCGATCCGCTGACTTGTTCCAGATCTCATCCGGCCCGCGTCCAAAAAAGTTGGCCGTCTCTGCTCTGCAGCCTCCCCCTCCCACCACGCCGAACAGCGACCCTTCCCATCACAAGGCCACGCCCTACAGGACCCTCCCCTCCCCTCTCGCAAGGCCACGCCCTACAAGACTCCCCCCCCCCTCCCTCCCACAATTCGTCTGAATGGCCGTCAGCAGCGCGCACAGAGACACTGTCTCGGGTGATTCAGGTTTTCCAGTGAGCGCGGCAGGCGGCTGCGGAGGCGTGTGCGGTGGGACGGACTGTGTGGGTGTCACTATCGGACCGGCCGTGAGTGACAGCACGCGCCCATCACACCAACATACACACACGGGCTAGATAGTGGCTACGGGGTAACGAACGAGCGTGGCACGGGTTCATACGAAACCCGTCGCCGGGTTTAGGACGTTTATTCTCAGTTTTGTCGGAACTCGGTGACGTGTAGCCGACATGTTTGGACGCCAGCCGCTGATGAATTGGGATGAGCCACACTGAGATGGCACGGAGCGCGCTGGTGAGTTAGTGTGGCATGAGCCGGCCCCGTGTCGGACGTAAGGGCTGAATGTATGACCCGATGACGCTCTGAGTCAGTCGGTCGACTCGAGGAGCCCGTGGCTGCGTCCATCATCGGAACCCCTGACGCACCGGGCCCAACTAGCCAGCAGTGACACGACGAGAAACTATGCAGCAACCTATATCGACGGGCACTTCTACTTTGAAACCTCTGCACCATGCTCAGACGTTAGGCACCAACAATGAATGAAATGATGTACCTAGTGGATAGCAGTGATTGTCACAGTGACTGAGCTGAGAAGTAACTAGAAGTTCGTAATAGTTGCGGCCAGTGGACATCACCAGAATTACGCTGGATGACGTCATAACAGCCCAAGCTGTTTTAACATCACCGGATGAGGTAATTTTGTGTGCCGTTATAATAAACATCGTTCATCAGCACCAGGCTTACGATGAATAACGCTACACATTTCGTGAGAAAAAAAGCTATAAACACGAACCCGGTGAGACGAAATGATTCAGCAATATACTTAATGTTAATAGTTCATCGGATATATTTCGCTGAAATATTCGCAATGCAGTGCTAATTTCAATAAATAACTCAAATGACGCCGTAATTGTTAAACTGACCGATAATGCGTTCAACTGAATTTTGCGAGTCAAAGAATATATGATGCATCCGCTCTGTGATAAAGTTGGACAGAGACAGATAACCGTAATTACAGTAATTTATTTCACTTAATAAACTACGGACAACCGTGAAAACTTCCTCATTTCGATGAAATGAATTAATACGATGGCTATCAAATGTGATTGTCGAGAGCATCACTCCCGACTAAGCCTCAGGGATGGCGAACCGGGGAAGAATTACATTCTTGAAGTTATTATATGAAGCTCACTGATCTCTGATACAGTTAGCTGCTATCAATAGCTATCTTTTGTGAACCCATATCTAACGAAAATAACGTGTATAAACGAAACGTTTTACGGTGTCACGCCCACCTCTCTATGTTCTGGCACTGCGGTGCCATGCAAACTATTCCAGTTTTTCTCATGACTAAAATACTTTATCAGAACTGCATCTGGTCAGAGACTTCACAGTCGTACGTACGAGACCTGCATTTCTGTGTACAACCCAGTATGAGTTACAGAGTAGTCCTGGCACGCATGCATCATCACATGGATTAGGCATCATAATTCAGAACACTCACCCATGCCGTATGATCCTTGAGATAGCAGGCCTTGTACTCGACAGTGTTTTTGTGGTTGAGCTGCCGCAGGAAGCGCAGCTCCTTCAGGATCTCCTGCCACTTTTCGGCGCTCTGTTTGCCTGTGTACGACATCTTCTTAATGGCGACCACCTACGAACGGCCGCGAGGGGAGAGGGCGGGTCAGAGAGCCGTCAGAGGGGCGGAGGTTGGCGGTCCGACACGGAGGAACAGAGACATGTGACCCAACATTAGCAGCATAAACAAACACATTTACACCTCACTACAGACCCCTAGTGCGCTGATAACACTGTCTGCGTCTCGGTAATCTCGTACCTCCTTTGTGACGACATTTCTGGCGTAGTAGACGGCGCCGAAGCTGCCGTGACCGATCTCACGCAGATCCTCAAACACTCGCTCCGGGTCATCGCGCTCAAACAGGTCGGCGATCTCGGGGTCCTTCAGACTGCCAGCCCTGACAAACACAAACACACAAACACACAGGTCAGATTCTCAGCCCTACCACAGCCAGACAGACAACCAGGCCAAAGACCACACATACTGCCAATCCTGCCACACAAACATCAACAGGTTGGCAATCTCAGGGTCCTTCAGACTGCCAGCCCTGACAAACACAAACACATATGTGTCAGATTCCCAGCCCTGCCACGAAAGATACAAACAGGCCAGCATGTTTTTAGCAGTTTGTCAGTTCTACTACAATATGCAAAAAGGTCGAGAAAATTAGGAACCTACTGCTTGCAGCCCTTAAATTCACAAACATACAAATAGTTCAGTGGTCTCAACTTCTCAAGGCCTTTCAGACATTCAGCCCAAACTAGCCAGTAAATCTTGGCCCTTCAGGCTGCCAGTAGCCAATCACTGCTACTTCCAGACAAGCAGATCATCAATATTTAGAGCATGATGTTCAACCATGTACATGGTTGTAGGAATAAGCTACATGCATGTAGCTTATTCCTGCTAGCAAGCCTGCACAAAACCATATCCTGATTTTTAAATACTAGTTTTCATACACACAAATTCTATGCCATATCAAAAATAATCAAATTAATTTACAATAGAGTGGAGTAAGAAGCCAATGGAGTAAAAAATGGAGTGCTTACTTCTGGAAAGCACTGGTTCATTTATGCCTTTGGCTGGTAATTAATTTAACATATTTGATTAACATTCAAGTGACATATGAATCTATGAGAAATCACAGAATTGTTTGTAAGGTAAAACAGTCTGATGAGGGTAAGTATTTGATACTTCTTCATGCCAAGACATAAAACTCATACAAAATGAATATCACAATAATAAGACACAGAAGTAAAAATAGTAGTGAAACATGAGTTAAAGAATTAAGAAGTTATTAATGAAAGTGTATAACTCAGCAGATATCAAACAAATGTTTGGCAAAGATACAATCTTTAATTTCCTGTTCACAATTGACAAATGAAAATGCAGCATACATCTGCTCTTATCATAAGAGTACAACTTGGCTGTGTCATATGATATATCTCATCATAATGCTCAGATTTGTTTTCCTATGAAAACAATATATAAATTTATACATGAAAGGTAGGTATTCCACTATGAACAAAAATGCTCTTCAAATAGAGCAAATTCCTTATTGCTTTTTGTAACACACATCTCCAGATTGGAAGGTACCTCAAACAGGAGCAAAGCTTGTATGCGTGTTCTCACCTTATGCTGGGCGGTGGCTGAGGCCTGGACCCTATGGTGCCAGCTTCCCGAGTACAACGTGGTAAAAACACTCCCACTCACACACCACCTGGAAGACCAATTATCTGAAAATGCGCAGAAATTAGCAGTAACAGCAAGTAACACAAAGTTGAATGTTTATGTTTTATAAAGCAATAGTTCTATTCTAACAAAATCACAATATAAAACAATAGTTCTATTCTAACAAAATCACAAATATTAATAGCACATTGAGGTAGGTACCTATGTAGCAAAGTATTACTTTTAATATGAATTGATAGGTATGTTATTTGAAACTTTTCCTAAACTTCCAGTGAATTCTGCACAAAAGCCAAAGCTTAAAATACTCCAGACCCTATAGAGCTAAAAAAACTGAGCAATACTTGAGAAGCGCTTAAAATCTTAGGATGTGTCGGGAATGTGAAATAAAAATTCTTTAAATAATCAATTAAACAACATCACACTTAAATGAAACCAATGAAGTGGAAAGGTTTCATAATAATAGCCATCTGTTAATTGGATCATGAACATAAAGAACCAACAAAACTGCATTCCAAAACAGTAATTATTCATACAAAAGGAAGCCAACTGGTGTAGACAAAAGCGGCGCTTTAGGGTGTGCCAGTTGACCCTTCAGAGATTCACCTCCTTACTTCGATAAAGGCATTACGGTAACGATGATTTTTACATTAAAACGCAAGCAGAATTATTGGTCTTTTATCTCTAACTGAGCTAGACCTTCAGAAAAAGCACAACAATGAAAACGGGTGGCATCACGCCGAGCCTTTTACAGACCGTCCTTCACGGAGGACTCGCAAAAACACGATGAAGGAACAGCTTGGTGAAGACACCACAATACATGCGAATAAAATTGCCAATCTGCAAGCGAGAATGATAAATTAAGTGTCACTACAAACCTCTTTTGTCTTGAAACAAAACAAAAAGGAAGAACGGGACAAATTCTATCTCCGATAGGAAAATGGCGCACGAATGCGCATGCGCGAGTCAAAAACATGTGTTTTGCAGGTATCAGTAAGAACTGATTCTCATTAAGCCAGTCTTTTATTACCTTAATAATTATTCAAAAAATATTTAGTTTTTAAAAAGGATGCTATACCCCTAAAATATCACAAAAACTTGAAGTCATATTGAAAACTTAGCATTTGATATTGTTTCATATCTCACGCGTCAAAGACGTAATAGACGCAAATGTAGATGGCCCTTGTTTTTTTTTTTCAGTTTTTGAAGTTTTGGAAGACTGCAGCTTTGGCGGGGAAAATAGCTTGTTGTTGGATGCTGTATTGTTGTATTTCGACCTGTACCTACGCATCTTAGTGTTGTTCTTTGGATTGTGGCAGAAAATAATTGCCTTTACGTCCTTTACGTTTCGGAAATCTTGAGCTCAAGGCCTTGATTGAGCTGATACTCTTGAACCAGTCCCTGCCAAAACAGGTAGGTAGGTTAAGGTAAATATATCGTCTTGTATTTATTTCATTACAATTATATAATTTCAGAGTAGGCATTATCATGGATTAGGTATTCCTGCGAAATGCACGTGAGTCGTGAACGTTTTGAATTTAGTCTTAAACTTATTGAAATTGCGCCTATAAAGGTGTAGTGACTTACCTACAGACTTATCCCTCCTACACCTGTAGATATTGCTATATCTCAATCTGATGTCATATTGTCATGTCAATGAATTTTTATTCATGGGGTTGGTTTGTTTCACAAGCATGGTGACACATACCCGCCCTGCCTATCATCAGGAGGTGCTCAACGATGCCAAACGTGCGGCTTGGTCGGCCAGCAGGAATGTCAGAGGATGAATCTGACTCGGACGATGGCATGGCGGTGGGCCCTGCACCGCCGCCAAGAACCCGATCCAGCAAACCGATGACGAACGGCACACCAGCCAAGGTCAGTGTCTGGTCAGCTGTACTGTAGCAGAACCACAGAGTTCTGTTGCCCTGTAGCCCATCCATTCCCACTTCCCAGCAAATGTCTGTTTGTCATCCATCTGTTTGATCGCCTGGCCGTTCGTTCGTCGATTTGTTTTTGTCCATCTGTCCACCATGCACCATGAAACACATGTACCTAATATCCAAAACACGCAAATCATCTAACCAATGGCCGATGCCGTGTGTTATCCTTCCAGGGCGGCTCGTCGTTCCTGACCCACCCCCGGCGCCGGACCGATTTCACCGCCCCGCCACTTGAGGATTTCCGCACTGCCATCGCCCAGGGCAGCCTGGCCGACGTCAAGATACTCGTCAACCAAGGTAGGGACTTAAGGGGTGCAGGCTGCACGGGGACGGCAGTGAAGCCTAATCCTCTGATTGTTTTAACGGGGATTCGAATATTCGAACTCGGACTCGCGTCATGGATGAAAACTTGGGTATCTTGACGCATTTGTCATCTTATTTTGTGAGTTTGGAAGGCTTTTTCTTTTTTGCGCTGAAATATACATTAAAGGAAAAGGGCCACCTTTAACATGGGGATTGAAACTGAGATAGCCATCTTGTAGCCCGTGTCCGAAAACCTTTTTGTCTACCTCCTTACGGCCGATTTCGGCCTCCATTCGTAGTTATCGGCAATTTTAAAAGAAAATACGCCAGGAATGCGTCCTTATCCCAGGAATGCGTTCTTATCCGACAATACAGCCACCCGCGGCGAGGCTTTGGTTTTTTATCAATCAGCTCCAACCAGCTCAGCTTTAACCAATCAGCTTATCTGACACAATCCGACGAGTCTGTCTTCTGAACGCTGATTGGCTTGAGTGTGACGTCATCGCTATGCCATCATACAGTAGGTGCCGTAGAGAGTATCAACATAGTACCAATATGTTAAATAGTATTAAATACTTTTTAGCGAATTGTGCACTTCTGGCACCAGTTTTAAAAAGAAAATGAAAAATAATAATGTCAAAATGAAAAACAACGATATCTTCATATTTCACGAAGGTGGCCCTTTTCCTTTAACGTCAATTATCCGATATCTACTACCCCTGGCAAGTTTCCGGCCGTTGGCGTCACGTGAATCATCTCTGCCTCCTCTGTCAGGGATATCTGTGAACCAGCTGCTGAAAAACAACTGGCCGGCGCTGCTGTGCGCCTGTGCGGCGTCCACCCCGGCCGTGGTGCAGTACCTGATCGACCAGGGAGCCGACGTGAACACGCATAAAGGTAACTTATGCGAGAACGGTTCGGGAAAGGAGTAACCTCGTTTGTAACACCTGGCTATCTTCCTAGCAACATGCATCTATGAAGTTTGCCTTGCCATTAGTGTATTGTATGAAAAACACAAAGCACTAAATTAATGGATGGAATATGGACTATCGGAGCATCACATCACATCTCACTTGTCGTTTTTGCACATTATCTGTCGCTGTGACCTGACTCCGCTCTGTCTCCCCGTCAGACCTGTACACCCCTCTGATGGCGGTCTGCTGCTCCACCCACTACTCGGAGGAGGACGCCGAGGTGGTGGTGAAGGCCCTGCTGGCGGCCGGCGCCAGCGCCTCGGCCGCCGACCGGCACCGCTGCACGCCGCTCATCTACGCCGCCAAGGAGGGTCGCTCGGGCGTGGTGCGCCTGCTGGTGGCGGCCGGCGCCGAGACCGGCAAACAGGACACCATGGGATGGACGGTACGTGGGGGCGGGGAGGGGCGAGTCTGCGAGATTGGGGACGAGTGTGTATCGTGAAGGTAGCGTAGCGTTCCTTTTTTTGGGTTAGGCCCTTTCGGTCCAATTAGACCATTTCAGAGCCGGAAGGATGCTAGGAATTAGGGGGAGACATTGGTCTGGGCAGGCACCCTAGTGAGTCACCGGGGCTGAGCCCATCCCGTAGCACAGGCCGACCAGCCCCAAGGTACTCACTAGTCACTGCACCCGGCTACGGGGTGCGCTCCCTCGGGAGCAGCGGTGCCGCTCCAAGGGAGCAGCCCGCGTGAGATAAAGTTGCCTGTCCAGCCCGGAGGAGGGTTGCGGTGTAGAGGAGAAGGATTTCAGTATCCTGAGGATAGAAGCACGGAACGGTGATGTAGCGTTTCTACTCCTGGCTAGTCGTTTGAGGTGCCCATAAACGACTTTGGGACTTGTTATATTTACCTTTTCGCTGACTTGCTGGTCTATGTGAGTTTGGCTACATAATCCTTGGATTTTGTTTGTGTCGCTTCGATGTGCTCTACCACCACATATAACCCGTACGGTCACCGAGCTCTGTTTGTCGTCAGGCCATGATGCACGCGGCCAGCCGCGGCTACGGGCACATAGTGCGACATCTGGTGGAGGCAGGCGCCGACAGCGCCACCTATAACCTGAGCGGACAGACAGCGGCTGACCTGGCGCTGGCCAACGGCTTCCATGCGGTAGGTCATGTTATTGGGAAATGAGGGTCGAGGGATGGACGTCTGAATGGTGAGGAGGATGGAACTGATTGAACAGGAGAACTATGTAACTTTTGACTTTTGACATTATGCAATGGATGGTTGGATGGTTCTGTTTTAGGCGGTTTAGGCATACCAGGCGGCCGAACGGGGAGGGCACCGGGGCACCGTGCCCCCTTTGATTTTGGCATTTTGACATTAGCCCTATGGGCGTTGCATGGAAAGAATGGGATCAAAAGTCGGCAGTGCCCCCCCCCCCCCCGTTCCGCCGCTACTTGGTTTAGGGTCATTTACGACGCAATGTGACGCCTGGGCTCGTATTGTCCCGTGGGGCGAGGGCGGGGCGGGGGAAGCTGGAGTGAGATACCTGAGCGGATACTGCTGGGAGGGGTCGAGCTAGTGCCGTCTCATGTTCACGCGTTGTGCGGGGCTCGGGTCCGTATCTGATCTGAGGAGCAGTAATACGATCCGGCAATCCAGCTCAGTCGAGCGGAGGAGCCGCCGACACATGACACCGGAACTGGGGAGTGAGATGGGCGATAGGCGGTCACTGCTGCAGTGGGGGTGGGGGCAAGGTGGGGGGGAGTACTCAGTCATAAACGAGAATGAATGAAATTATGAATGCCTGATGAAGCAGATTCATTCAATACTTTTGGGCTTTTATGTTGAACTGAATATGTTCACTTATGAGTTCATAAGCTGTTATCTTACAACTAACTTTTCCAATTTAAAATTTGAATTTTACGTGAAAGACGAGAAAAAATATCAAAACACAACATGCACGTGAATACACCATGCTTGTCTGCCCTGTGAATTGGGAGCGTGGCTGCCAAGCCCGGCTAGCTCAGTCGGTAGAGCATGGGACTCTTAATCCCAGGGTCGTGGGTTCGAGCCCCACGTTGGGCGATGCTTTTCGCTCTGCACCTCTTGTTGGTCTCTGAGCATGACGGAAATTTGGAAGCTTCAGTCATCGATGATTATTGAAACCTTGGTGACCACTTTGCTGTATCTTCAGTCCTTTTTACTTTTCATTTATTGATGGGTTCATTTTATTCTCATTCGTACAGTCTCAAATCTATCTTACTATTTGAACAGGATCCATCTGTCTGTCTGTCTGTTTGTCCGCCACGCCGTGTAGTGGGTTCAATTTAGCCGGCCTACAGGGCAGACGGTATATCGTAGGGGGTTGAAATTTGCACACCTTATAGGTGACAGAGCGGGTCAGCGCCTTTTCTAGGTTCCGACTCGCTGGGGTGCACGGTTCGCGCGTGGGGCGCGCTGGAAGAACGCCAATGAAATTTTGATCGGTTCGTAGATCTTCATTGAGAGCCGGGGTCGACAAACTTTGTGGACTAAATGCATGCCGATCGGCGGCGAGTGCCTCGCATTGGCGGATCGGCAAGTTATTAATTTGAATGAAAAGTGGCGAAAAAATGTGTTGATTTTCGTTCAATGGAAACAGTTTGTGATACGAGTATACAAATGCACCGTGTTTGCCGCAATGCGCCACTTTGATGACAAGGCGCCATTTTTGCCGCAAATCGCATAGTTTTGTCAAATATGACCCGATAAGGGTACAATTTGGTGCAAGGGTGCATGCTCAAACAACAGGTACAGATGCGCCGCATTTGCCGCAATGCGCCACATTTGCCACAAAGCGCCATTTCCGACAAAATCGAGTAAAAGCAATGGAATGGCACGAATTATTCTGTGACCTGACATGACCCAGCGGTGTTGGTAGGGGTAGGGGTAGGGGTAGGGGTAGGGGTAGGGGTAGGGGTAAGGGTAGTGTAGTGGTAGGGGTAGGGGTAGTGGTAGGAGTAGTAGTAGGGGTAGGGGTAGTGGTAGGGGTAGTAGTAGGGGTAGTGGTAGGGGTAGTGGTAGGGGTAGTGGTAGGGGTAGGAGTATGGGTAGTAGTAGTGGTAGGGGTAGGGGTAGATGTAGTGGTAGGGGTAGGGGTAGTGGTAGGGGTAGTGGTAGGGGTAGGGGTAGTGGTAGGGGTAGTGGTAGGGGTAGTGGTAGGGGTAGGGGTAGTGGTAGGGTAGTGGTGGAGGCAAAAGCAGAACAGTGGCCCGGGCTGATCCCAGCGGACGAGAGGTGACCATGTGACCTGGCTTGACCCAAAGCGACCGGGGCTGACCCCTTTGACCCGTCTTGACCCCGTATCACCCAAATTTCATCCAACAACGCCCTCAGAACAGTTCTTTTTTTAAAGTCTCTTCACATTTCCGTCCATATCTATGCTTCTAGACGACACATCGACATGAATCAAACACCATTCGAAAGCAAATTGGCTGGTGCCGCAATTTTTTCTACCACGCAGCAAAGCAAGTGGCGCAGCCGCTTGTCTATACTACTATTTGAACAGGATCCGTCTGTTTGTTTGTTTGTTTGTCCGCCACGCCGTGTAGTGGGTTCAATTTAGCCGGCCTACAGGGCAGACGGTATATCGTAGGGGGTTGTAATTTGCACACCTTATAGGTGACAGAGCGGGTCAGCGCCTTTTCTAGGTTCCGACTCGCTGGGGTGCACGGTTCGCGCGTGGGGCGCGCTGGAAGAACGCCAATGAAATTTTGATCGGTTCGTAGATCTTCATTGAGAGCCGGGGTCGACAAACTTTGTGGACTAAATGCATGCCGATCGGTGGCGGGTGCCTCGCATTGGCGGATCGGCAAGTTATTAATTTGAATGAAAAGTGGCGAAAAAATGTGTTAATTTTCGTTCGATGGGAAGAGTTTGTGATATAAGTATAAAAACGCACCGAGTTTGCCGCAAGGCGTCACATTGGTCACAAGGCGTCATTTTTGCCGCAAATCGCACAGTTTTGTCAAACATGGTCCGATATGGGTGCAATTTAGTGCAAAGATGCATGCTCAATTACCGGTTGAAAATGCGCTGTGTTTGCCGCAATGCGCCACATTTGTCACAAAGCGCCATTTCCGACAAATACAACTAAGGGTAATGGAATGGCACGAATAGGGGCAGGGCTGAGAAGTGAGAACACTTTAAGTCTGATATTTTAGTACTGATTGGATCCAATTATTCTGTGACCTGACATGATCCAGCGGTGTTGGTAGGGGTAGGGTAGTGGTAGGAGTAGTGGTAGGGGTAGTGTAGTGGTAGGGCTAGGGGTAGGGGTAGTGGTAGGAGTAGTAGTAGGGGTAGTGGTAGTGGTAGGAGTAGTAGTAGGGGTAGGGGTAGTGGTAGGAGTAGTAGTAGGGGTAGGGGTAGTGGTAGGGGTAGTAGTAGGGGTAGTAGTAGGGGTAGTGGTAGGGGTAGTGGTAGGGGTAGGAGTATGGGTAGTAGTAGTGGTAGAGGTAGGGGTAGATATAGTGGTAGTGGTAGGGGTAGGGGTAGTGGTAGTGGTAGGGGTAGGGGTAGTGGTAGGGGTAGTGGTAGGGGTAGTGGTAGTGGTAGGGGTAGGGGTAGGGGTAGTGGTGGAGGCAAAGGTAGAACAGCGGCCCAGGCTGATCCCATCGGACGAGAGGTGACCTATGTGACCTGGCCTGACCCAAGGTGACCGGGGCTGACCCATTTGACCCGTCTTGACCCCGTATCAGCTAAATTTTATCCAACAAAGCCCTCAGAACAGTTCTTTTTTTTAATTCTCTTCACATTTCCGTCCATATCTATGCTTCTAGACGACACATCGATTTGAATCAAACACCATTCGAAAGCAAATTGGCTGGTGCCGCAATTTTTCTACCACGCAGCAAAGCAAGTGGCGCAGCCGCTTGTCTATACTACTATTTGAACAGGATCCATCTGTTTGTTTGTTTGTTTGTCCGCCACGTCGTGTAGTGGGTTCAATTTAGCCGGCCTACAGGGCAGACGGTATATCTTAGGGGGTTGAAATTTGCACACCTTATAGGTGACAGAACGGGTCAGCGCCTTTTCTAGGTTTCGGCTCGCTGAGGTGCACGGTTCGCGCGTGGCGGGCGCCGGAAGAACGCCAATGAAATTTTGATCGGTTCGTAGATCTTCATTGAGAGCCGGGGTCGACAAACTTTGTAAACTAAATGCATGCCGATCGGCGGCGAGTGCCTCGCATTGGCGGATGGGCAAGTTTTAATTTGAATAAATAGTGGCGAGAGAATGTGTTGATTTTCTTTCAATGGGAACAGTTTGTGATACGAGTTTACAAATGCACCGCGTTTGCCGCAATGCGCCACAATTATCTCAGGGCGTCATTTTCGCCGCAACTCGCACAGTTTTGTCAAATATAGTCCGATATGGGTGTAATTTGGTGTCAAGATGCATGCTCAAACAACAGGTACAGATGCGCCGCATTTGCCGCAATGCGCCACATTTGCCACAAAGCGTCATTTCCGACAAAATCGAGCAAGGGCAATGGAATGGCACGACTTATTCTGTGACCTGACATGACCCAGCGGTGTTGGTAGGAGTAGGGGTAGGGGTAGTGGTAGGGGTAGTGGTAGGGGTAGTGTAGTGGTAGGGGTAGGGGTAGGGGTAGGGGTAGTGGTAGGGGTAGTGGTAGGGGTAGTGGTAGGGGTAGTGGTAGGGGTAGTAGTAGTGGTAGGGGTAGATGTAGTGGTAGGGGTAGGGGTAGGGGTAGGGGTAGTGGTAGGGGTAGTGGTAGGGGACAGGGGTAGGGGTAGTGGTAGGGTAGGGGTAGTGGTAGTGGTGGAGACAAAAGCAGAACAATGGCCCGGGCTGATCCCAGCGGACGAGAGGTGACCTATGTGACCTGGCCTGACCCAAAGTGACCGGGGCTGACCCCTTTGACCCGTCTTGACCCCGTATCACCCAAATTTCATCCAACAACGCCCTCAGAACAGTTCTTTTTTAAATTCTCTTCACATTTCCGTCCATATCTATGCTTCTAGACAACACATCGACATGAATCAAACACCATTCGAAAGCAAATTGGCTGGTGCCGCAATTTTTCTACCACGCAGCAAAGCAAGTGGCGCAGCCGCTTGTCTATCTTACTATTTCAACAGGATCCATCTGTCTGTTTG